GACGTGGCCGCGATTCTGTACCGAGCCGAGCGAGAGTGACTTCATTCTCAAGACGGCAAGAGGCAACTTCAGGCACAGTTATCAGTGAGTGCGGTCTGATGATACCGTACATTCTGGAATAGAGGCAACCGTCATTTATCCGTGGACGAACGGATATCGTTCCCGGACGTGCACTTCTCGACTGCTGCGGTATAATAATTCGAACTACCAGGCTAGTTGGAAAGGGGCCTTTCTGTAATGCTATGACAATAAATGGTAAACTAATAAGTGTAGTGGCACATAAATTTGATTTGGCTTTGACGCAAATTTACACCCATGCGTCATTTTCTCATCTCTTGCCTATTTAACCGGTACCACGTTTGATCATTTTAGTTATGGAACCGTTCAGCAGGGTCGTCGTTTACGTAATTCAGCGTTTAAGAATTAAGATAAGCCGATTAGTTTTGAGCCCAGTGGAATTTTGTAAAAACAGGTAGCAATTATCTATGCACGCCATGCTGTGTAAGTAAATCTTAGTTTGATCCTTTTATTTCCTGCTGAATGCTCACTGACGACCCTGACATACATGCATCGAACATGTACGCTTGATAATCATTGCACCGTAGATAATTTTGAATGGAGAATCCATCTTAGCTCTATGGGCTGATTGCGTGGAGACAGCTCAGTAGCCAGATGGAGGTATTAAGATCCAATCCAGATGTGATATGTAAACCCGATTAAAAGTTGCACTCAGGTGATCATGCGGTGTGAAAGACCTCAGCGTAGAAAGGAATATAGACCCTGAAATTTGACCAATGGAAATGGGAGCTGCTCAATGCTCATACATTGGATACTTCGCTCATTGTCGGTGTTTTCTTTATTAACTGTAATCCCAGTTTGTAATGAATGTTAGGAAATCGCTGTTTTCTACAAGGCTTCGGATCAAATCAGTTATACATGTGAGCCAGGCCTTATTTAAATGATCATGTTGATAAGTGACCTATTGCAGCTTGCATGCATCCTAAATACCCATCTCCAAACCCCTCCACAGGTACGCGTGACATTCAATGTCATCACGGAAATGTCCGTTGTTCGTATAGGCATAGGTATATGTATCTCTACGGATACCAATGCAACATTCTATAGGTACTTACGTATACATCTTTAACGGGTGTGTTTCTTGGTATTATGAATCATAGATAACATGAATCATGTTGTCTATTCATGTTATCTACCTATGTATGAATAAATGAAAAACATTTTCATAAATCAATGCTTGTAAAGGCCCACCAACATATCCTATGAACGTATATTTTCAGTGTAGGCCAGCATGATTATGTGAAATGTGAATTACGTGTGAAATAATCAACAAGGCAATTGACCTCACGAAGCACATTGTGATAACGATGGTACGATGCAATACGACCGTATTAGCGCATCTTATGATTATATATGCTTTTATGACGATTTTGTGAATCATTTTACGTTTCAACACTCGCAGATGTGTTCGAGGGTGAGGTCCCGTCTGCTGTGGATAAAAAAAACTGTTTAGGCACGTTGTGTCTTCATTTATCACTTTGGTATACACGTAGTTATGAAAGCATTTATACGTTAGGGCACATTGATGTGCCTTGCCTGTTTCAGTGCTAAACTGGGCTGAACTGGGGCTCATTTTTGATTCAGAAATATGTTGTTCTTACGAAACTGCATGGGATTAATGAAAATTTAATGTTTAGAGATGAAACAGTACAATAACTTTATTTAAAGGTCTTTACCCAAAAGATTGGTTTACAAGTTGGCCTTATAGCTTTATGTAAGATGGTCTATAAAATGGGGAATGAGGTCTTCGCTTGTTCGGGAAATGCAAATTTAAAGTATCTCGTGAAATCAGGAGACCTCACTGTTGATAAAAAGAGTACATAAGCGATAATTCTCACCATAATGGCTGGCATTCTTCCTGATTTGCTTGTCGTTGCAATTAAAGTAATCTACATATTGCAAACACTTTGATAGCGTGTGCATTGCACACTCGTCCTTCTTATGCACACTAAGTTATCTTCCTAGGAAGAATCGAACACCTACGCATTCTGTCTCTCTCTCTTCCTCCTCGTTGCAAGTGCAGCATATAGCATGCCTCACCAGCACATCTCTTACAAACGACCTCCTCGTCAAAGTCACTGGTGACCCTCGCAACCTCGTCGTCCGCTCGACGGGGGCAACGATAAATACGGCGATAGCAACGCCCCGCCGGCAAAAACGACCCCACGTGGGAGACAGGGCACTGCTGTCTGTTGTCACAGGCCGTCGACGGCTGTTTATCGGCGGCGACAGACCCGTGCCCCTCCTCAGTCGCTCGGCCGTATACAGCACTCCTGCTCGACAGGCGCGCACGGACTGCAGGCCCGACAAACAAATGCCACTGGTGGATCTTGTGAGCCAAGCAACAAAGATGACGTACTGTGGGCTGGCCTGGGGAGAAATGAAAATATCCGGTCATCAGTGAGCCGCTATAGCTGTCACTTTTGATATTATGCAGACTTTCGGGATATTTGATTGGCGGCTGCATCTTGTAGCATCGCTGTTGTTACCACTTGCTTTAATATCACGACTTTTTGCTTTTTGCTTCGCGGAACTTACCCATGACAACGTATCATGTATGTTGCGTTGTATCGATACAGTTTTTCTTTTTTCAACTTGAGGTCAACGGCCCTTCAGCACTCATAGACAGATAGGTAGGTCTGGTAGGGCCCAAGCCTTCCCAATAAATCTGCCATTTTCATATAAACTCTGTAGCGCTGCATGGTAAGAGTGGCTTTGCCATCCTAAAACTAGCCATAAGCGCCCTTACCAATAACGTTTATTTAAGCGATTCCCGTGAGCGTACGTCCTGCACTTACACAGCTTCAAGATTTTAGCAGTCTGGTTCGATGTAACTAGACATTACTACACCGTCCTTGTCAGCATTATCATCAGATAAATCCATATGTGGACTCAGCGCGTGGAGTTTTCCGAAAAACCGTAAACCTGTTTTTGATCCTGATGATTACCACACCACCGAGGTAAATATTTCATCACGCGAAAACATTTCCTGGACCGTGAAGGCTGACCGTACCAAGCAGCGACCTCACGAATTATCTAGGCGGCCTCCATTGTTGGAGAGCCCTCAGCGTTACTGAATAGTTACACATTATGTCACGGCTTTGTTACGTTAGAGCATGCATACGAGACCGGTTCGTTTCACATCCAACATTGGACCGGTATCTCACTACGCCAAATGCTAGATTGTTGGAATGCTTGGGTCCGAGATGGGATTGACCATCGTGCCGCGGCCAGTTCTAACTGCGCCTCTGCAGTTTTATGTCACCCAGTCCAGCCCGATGGATGCAGCTGACGGTGTAAGCCGCAGCTTTCTCCGTGTCTCCCGTCCCAAACACTGGAGTTATACCTGCTGAACCGCCGCCGTCGACCACAACGCGGTGCCGCCGCAGACAGAGCCGTCTCACTCTCTCTATCTCTATAGTTTACTCATGATGGTGAAAAGGTAACGTATGCCAACCCTATAGAGAGGACAGTCTGCAGTCGGCTTATGTTATCTCCTTTAGGCGTTCGGACTAATTGAGCGAAGAGGCAACACAATGAGCAAATAATCAAGCAGCCCTGGCAACCATGATGTGGAATGACGTGGTCCGTTACACGATGCTGAGTTATATAACCGATCGTTACGTGTCTGATTACCTCACGCATATCACTAGATTAACTACAGAAGCACAAGAAGTGCATAACGCACATGCCGCTCGTGATTGGAGGCTTTGTCGCCATCTCGGCTCCTCTCATTGGACAAGTCTCCCCCTCCCCATGGGGTCCGGTCATCTGATTGGTCCCGCGCCTCGTGTCCCCTGGACCCTCGCGAAGTCGATGACGCACTCTCCCGTCTCGATTGGTGGGACAGCGGCGCCCCACACCTCGTATAACGAGCGGTTGACGACACCCCTGTCGGCTGCTATTGGAGCGGTCCCGCGCCGCCAGAGAGCGGCCGACATGCTATTGGAGAGCGCTGCTACGGGGGAGACACGCGATAGCCGAATAAGTCGCCGACGCTCGCGTGAGACGGCACCTGTTTACCCGAATAAGCCGAACTGCTGATGATCGACAATTGCCTCTCGGATATGAACTGCACCGATGCAAGAGACTGGCAGTGACCTCGAATGTCAGTTAGTGCCTGCTGCTCAGTGTTCAGGCCGAGTGAAATGACCTTCAGCCCTTCGTCCCCTTTAAAGATTTCAGAACTTATTATTTGTATATGGTGGTAATTATTCATATTGCCAATGCTGTAAACACCTTATTATCTACCGAAGCTACTAATTGTACCGTGGAATATTTCCGGTGACGCCAATTACATCTAACGTGTCTGCCGTCTGCCCTTAATGTCGGGTCATTATTTCCGTTGTTCAGCTGTGTTCGATAAATCACCGAGTGCACTTGTGCAGCAAACTTCGCAGTACCGAGTGCCGACCTTCCGGACGACAGAGGGTGGCTCTCTCAGCATCTCTGGAGCGGGGCTATTAAAGATTAGAGGCATTTTTCTGGGATGTGAAAACTATACAGTATACACGAAACGAATGCGTCGACTTGTCCCTGGAGGTGCAGAGCTGTTTGTTTATACCACGTTCCCGGAAAAGGTTTGCATGCTGGTCAAATTCCAAATTTTGGCAGGGTGTGCGGTGATCTGTATGTGTTGAAAGCTTGTTCGAGTGATATATTTATTTCTTTATTATGTGCCGCTTTGTCGGCTGTCTATGTATAATAGGGTGTTTTCAATTTTGTGATGGGCGTCTCTGTAACCGGTAGACCCGCCTGTGAGTGAGTGAGCTGATGACTGTTTATGACGGCGGTCGGGTGGTCACACGTCACCGGTGGAGCGACACCTGTCAGTCCGTGGCCCTCACCACTGCCCTCCGCTGCCCTCCGCCCTCCCTCCGCCCGCCGCCCGCCGTCCGCCGTATGTACCGCACCGCTCGCTCAGTAGCGGTCCGGCGCTGAGCGGCGACGGGCGGAGTGCTGACGTTAGCGGCGGGTGGACTGTGGTCGGCGTGTCGGTGTGACGGGTGGACCGTGGACGAACCGGACTGTGTGATCCACCGTGACGGGTGACGACCGCGGTGTGGCGACTGTGACGACCGTGTGACGGATCACAGCGGTGACGAGTGGCGTCTGTGAGCTGTGAGGCAGGGAAAATAGTGTGGTTCTCTCGGGAGCACTCAAAAGTCCGCGACAAGTCGACGAAAGTGCAGCTCGTGGTGGTGTGTGACGGGAAGGAGTGAGTTGAAATTCACGGTGTACACTGCAGAGTCAATAAGGTGAGTAAACTGTACTCCGTACTGGAACTTCGTCCGATCACCTTCCTCGTTAGAAAGCAGTGGATGGGCGCAAATTAACCGGAACGAATGGGGAACATGTCTGTTAGTTCGTGGACTAGAGAACCGGAATAAAGCCCTTCGCCGATCGCTGAAAGTCATCAGCCACCAATAAGCCGTCAATCAGCAAGTTTATCATCAGTAACAGCATGCAGTTTGAGTTATGAAGTGCCGTGCATTTTTACGTTTACATTTATAGCGCACTTGAAATCTATTTTGCCTGACTATCCGTGCAGCAGTAGGTACTAAATATTACTGGTCTCTGCAAAATTGCGACGATTTAAGCGTGATATACGAAACAGTGCTGAATTACCAATCCGATTGAAGATGTATGTATAAGTGCTCAGCAAATAATTAAGCCTCAAGGTAACGGTTATGTGCACAGTTGAAGTTCGACCGTGCCGGAGAGCTAGAAAGGTCACGTAAACCGACCTCCAGATCTGTCCTTGATCGATATTCGCTGATGCGTGTAAACAAAGTTCAAATGACTACGACAAACGAGGAAGGCATCACTGATGGCGGAAAAGTATAGGATGAGCTTATGCAAATAAGCCCTTGGCGCCTTCAAAACCTTGCTATCACTTATTTGCAATTCGTGCTAAAGGAGAGCCTGTGCAGCTGCGAGAAGTTGATCTTGCCCGCAAACAGCCGGGCATGGTATGTCCCACTGACTGACAACCTGGCTGGAGCTTCAACTGCTAGTCATGTCCGTTAGGAATCTTATTTACCGAGCGCAGAAGCAGTTTGATCCCATGGGCCGTGTTGCATATAATCTCGCTGCCGAGGTGCTTTGCCAATCGGAACCTACGCTACGGATATAGTTATGTTTATGATCTACTAAGGATTTCGGTGTTATGTGACAATATCTGTTGAATTATATAGAATCGTGCCCATTGAAGCTTATAGCAATTATTACCGGTGAATGTGAGTTTACGTTTTCAGGTGCATGCTGCAACCGCGCCGTCCAAGCGGCTTCGATAGTGGCTATCAAAGTCTAGGATTTTCCTATTGAAACTGGCCCTTCTGGCGCATAATGCAATGGTACAAAGATGCAGCTTTGAATCTGACGTGTTAATTGTTGAGGTCCCGGCATGGCGTTGCAATGTGTTGCGGAAGTCCGGGAGTCCGCGGAAGTCTATTCTGTGCTTACAAACATGCAGACCTACCAACTCATTGCATGGATTTTCCAGCATCAACAAAAAGAACCCATATAACCACCCCATTGTATCTTCTATCCAGTTCCACCATAGAGTGTGTGTTTATAGTGTCAGCTTCCACGGGCTCGGACTTATCACGCAACATTATCATCAGCTACACTTATTAGGTACACAATACATCCAGCCTCGAGCTTTGTCAGCCCCGCACTTACACCATTCCCTCCCTGAAGTTCAGAAGCGGCTATGGGAGAAGCTGGTAGCGTGAAATGATAGGGCTCGAACCGAGGTCTGAGGCGTATACGGTTCAAGGTGCCATTCAGTGAAGGGCCACGACCAATCGCTGGATGTAGGTATGTATGTCGGCGCCATCAGCTTAGCACCGCGGCCAAGAGGAGACAGGTTGTGGAAACCCAGCCGGCGAGGTCAACGCGTTGCAGTGTCGCCAGGTGACGAGGTTAAATCAGTCACTTATGCCGGTTATCGTTGCACTTGGATTGATTATAGTTATGTGTGTTTGGACATGATGAAGAAGAGCAAGCAACAAAGCACAAATGCGATCCAAATGCACACTCAATCTGAGCATCGTAGGTACATATGGATCTCTCCGATGCGTCGTTCCGGGACGCGGTTGAGTCGCTGATCCAAGGCCGGTGATGGGTACTCGTTACACTGCCCCGCCGCCGGTATGCGGAACTGTTCAGTGTTCATTGGGCTGTGTGCACAGGTGTTCGTCCCACACGGCCGTGAGAGGGGCGATGGTCCCGATCGAATGACACGAGAATCCGTTACACTGCATAGACTTGTTGCAAAAGCGATCTTAACAGACCGTCTCTCTTACTAAGCAGTGGGAGGAATAAAACGGAAACCGTCGACTTAAAGACACAGTTCAATATGATTCATCGTATAACGATTCCTTTGTTATCATAGCGGTAAGCAGATGTGTAATTAGTTAAAAATGCTGTGCCAATTAAATATGAGTATACATTGAGGTAGTCGTAGTAGGCATTGAGGGTCATCGTTGTCGGTCAGATGCCAGCAGCGATGACCCGAGCACAGCTGAGTGACACCGCGGTCGTTTCGCACTTTCAGAATAATAGTGTCACGCTTATGTAGGGTTTCCATGCGCCCCTATTGGTCCCTACTGCACCCCTATTTTAAGCTTATTCGTCGAGTATGCGAGAGAGCCTATTGTGCAATACACTTTACACTAGTGAGTAGTGATTGTGCATTTGACAGGTGCAGCTTTTATGGCTGTGTTTGTTACTATGATTTATTGCTATCTGAAGACGGCGCTTATCTGGCCCCAGCAACGAATCATGGCATTATAGGGCTTATTTTTTCCTCAGCGAATGCTAAAAGACGAATTAAGGTTACGTTATCATTTTAATCCCAACAAACGACGCCATAACCAATATTGAGCTGTGTTTTTATTGCCATTTCATTATGTAGCTGATAACTGGCTTTTATTGTGATGATATCTGATCATGGGTGAATTAACATCAACACCATTCTCTCCCCTATTCAAGCCTGCCCTCAGCACCATCCTTTGGCCTTTGCCCCGGTAAGGCTGCCTCTAACAATGCCCCTCTCTGTGCAGGTCACAGCACGAAGATGACCTCATCTCGTCGCGGCTCGACGGCCGAGGGCCGGCCGCGGCCCGGCCTCGACCAGCTGGCCGTGCCCGGTCAGGAGGGCAGCTCATGGACGCGCCGCCGATCGGACGCCGTGGCTCTGGGGGACGACCTGATGGACCAGTTGACGGTGCCGCAGGCGCGCTGGGCACGCCGGCCGTCGGCGGTGGAGGTTATTGACGACAGCGTGGCCGGTCAGCTGGTGGTGCCGATCTATGAGGAGGAGGACGCCAGCTCGGACGGGAGGCACTCGGTGGCGTCCCGGGTCACGGACGATAAGCCGACGGCCGCCGGCCAGGCAGTGGCCATCGGTAATGTGAGTACACTGGGGAGACGGGATGGCTGCTCGAGTGCTCAGTCTCACCTTAGTTGCTGCCATATAGGCTATAGACATGTCTCTCAAAGTCAAGACTGGCCTAGACGTGGCTGTTTACTAGCCTAAGCAAGTCCCCTCCACAGTAATCTCTCCTATTCTTTCCTCGTTGAAGAGAACGTTGAGATGTCATTACATCAGGTCATGTGTGTTATGTAAGATCCAAAGATAATTCCGTCGTGCAAAATATTCTTAATGCCCCCACAATCCACATCCCATGGTCGATGTGAGGGCTTAGGCTCCGATAACCAGCCTGTACCCGCCCGAACCGGTGTTATACCGGACCGAAGTTTTGATTACAGACTATTGGTAAAAAAATGTCTGAAGAAAAATGTTTTACCGGTTTTGCAGCTGTGTTCTATGGCCTGCCTGTTCCTGAGCGGTTCGAGAAACTCAAGTGGAAGTGGCCCACAATATCAGAGTCCAGGCAAACAAATAAGCGCATGGTCCTATTAATGGAGAAAGATCACATCACGAGCATTTAAATGAATATGGGTAACGCCAGTAGCGGTGGACCACCTTCAATTAAGGGGGGGGGGGGCACTGCCAACTTTTGGTCCCATTCTTTCCATGAAACGCCCATAGGTCTAATGTTAAAATGCCAAAATCAAAGGGGGGCACGGTGCCCCGGTGCCCTCCCCGTTCCGCCGCCTATGGGTAACGCATCTGACACATCTTGTCACATGATGAATTGTGACGAAATTATTTAAAAATAAATAAAAAGTGATAAAAAACGTCAATACATTGTTCTGATAGAGCCATGATTTCAACATTGCTGAACTTCAATGACATCACCGTGTTCTGTAGACGTAGGTATACGATGCATGGGTGATGACTCGGAACAGACATGCATTCATTGTTCACCTGTCTCGACAGACACTCGCTCACCCGACCCCGGGCTCGCCAGTGTGGGTTATAATGACTGAATTCCACCGTGAAGGCCGCATGACTTATTTACCTCAAGTTTGTGTCTGACATTTCCTGAGTCTATATATGTTACATCACTTTTCCTCGGAAGTCGGAATCTTCTTAAACACACCTTTAAGTCGAGGAATGCATTGTTTCACGATAAGTCAGAGAGGTATTTCTTGATAAACAAATGATTGACCTTGTGGTTGCGGAAACATTTTCAGACAACGCTTTGCACAAAGTGAGGAATGCTGCATTGGTGCAGTTACTCTTTTTCTCCCAACCTTGATTAGGTGCATTGTAAAATTGTTCTGCAACGTTTCTTCATTGTACAGAAGGATTTTCCGTTATCCTATCCGCTATCGAGCTCCTGCCTGCAGACTCCTCCATTCCCAATTTTTCATACTGCCGAGCCGTCTGAACATTGATCCGCTTCGATTCGCTCCTTTAGCCGATCTGCGCCCCAGATGGGTTGTTTGTTCGTCGCTTTAATCCGGCTGTTCTGTGGCCGCCAGCGGCCTTGTCTGTGTCCGGACACACAGAGGCCGGTCTGCATACCGCCGGCCCGGAGTGCCAGACGCGAAGGTAACGCCGGCCATTTCCGTGACAATTCGAGCGGCACGGGAAGCGGCGTGACGGGGTAAACGAGAGCACCGTGACGGGTGACGGAGGGCAGCGTGACGGGTAACGGAAGCCAGGCGAACGGAAGGCACAATTCCCGCGGCTGGGAGACAAACATCGTGCTGTATGTACTTACAATGTACATGGCTAGAAGATATAAGCGTATGGCGAACGGCTGCAGGATATACCAACTCGTTAACGGTCAAAATGACTTCACTTTCCGGAGCGTTAAGGATTCGCATTTAATGTATCTCACAGCGAGCCTTTACCTAAGGGAGCCAGCATGCATGTGGTCGTGATAGTTCACTTTCTTAGCACTGTGTAGTGTTAGTCCTTCATCCAATTCTCTACTTTCTTCACACTTGTCTGGATTGGCGGCACAGTGTCGCGGTCAGCTGTGCAGGAGCGCACAGAAGCGAATGCTAGAATAAACACATGTCCAAATCATAGCTCCTCGAACCTAAACAAGTTCCAGGCCACCAATTCCCGAAAGATTATATGGGCTACACTCTCGTGAAATTAAAGGCGGGGCTACACAAAAAGTGTCATAAAACATGGGCTCTGAGTCCATCGGTAACTGATCCAGCGCGATGACCCAGAACACGACATACAACTGGGAGCCTCTGGGCGGTGCTCACGTGGGACACGAGGGAATACCGGCCACTTATGAACCATGGCAGTTTCCACGCCCGAGCTTTGGGACTGGAACACATCTCGCTCGTATGTGACACCACAAAGTACAAATGACCAGACGGTTGTATTACTTTTTGCTTGGACGTGTGCATGGAAAGCGATACAAAGATGGATCGGCGATAAGTTCATAAATATCGTCAAAATCATCAACTGTAAAGTTATGGCACATGCAAAAATATTGAACTGTTATAAATATTTAGGCTTTTTACCAACACTGAAAGGCTTTGTAACTTTTTATAACTTAGTGAGAGCGAATATTTTGAGGGGAGACGGAGCTGTTGAAATGTAACTGGCTCCAGATACCTTTAATGTTCTTTTTTTGTGGCGCTATGCCTTGATGCACAATGCCTAAGCTTGGTTGTCTGGAGGAACCTTAATCTGATTTATAGCAGTTGTGTGCAATAAACCAATGCTCCTTTTTGCATTTGTAATTAAGAATAATGATTTGTTTGGACTATAGGTGTAGGTATGACATTTCACCAACTATCTCCAACAAACAATTTAAGTGCCTCATTGTCACTTCATGCGGCTAGGAGTGAAAGACCCTTTCTAAACAAGTCTCTCCAGCCAGCCACAGTCCGTGGAGGCCCTTTCTATAAAGCGGGCTTCTCCACTCCAGCCCTGCAGCCAAAGCCCTGTCGACTGGTCGCTGCCTGTCAAACCGTTCCACGTCGTGGCACCCACCACCTCCACGTGCTACCAGAAGCTATGGCGCTATACGTCACACCCAACATCCGGCCGAAACCGGTCAAAACCGACTGTTGATCACAGATTGGACGTGACGAAAATTGCCGTTCCAGCACGGCCGCACGAGCCGAGCTCTGCACCGCCAGTGCTTACTAGCACGAGTCTGCGGAGTTAGATGGAGCCGGACCACGTGAACGGAGGTCACACGAGGTGCCGGTGTGGTGTCCGATCGGCGTCCTGTGATCAGTCAGAAACGACAGCTCAACCAAACACTGGGTGATGCTATTTGATTTCTACTGTTTTGAAGTTATGACACGGGCTGGGGTTAAATTGCAGTTCCGCGTCTCAGGTGTGGATATCATTCACGATATCCACTCAAGAAACCGCCGGCCGCATCCGTATTCGTTCCTCAAAACTTGACACAACCCTGTCTGAATCAGTGCCTCGAGTTCATGAAGCATGACTCTAGTATATGCCCCTCCCTCCCCAGTCCCCAGTTGTACCCACATCCGGACGGTAACCCCCCCGTCCCCCCGTCCCCGCAGAGGTCCACTGATGCCGGCTCTGATGACGGCAGTGACGAGACTGACGCCAGCGAGGAAGACGTCATGGACAGCAGTGACGTGTGCCGGCTGACGTCAGTCCTATCGCGACTCGGCATCGCTACAGACCTGGCCACGCTCTGGAGGATGCCTTACATGTGTCACAAGTACGGCGGTGAGTGCCCGCGGGAAAATGTCCTGCACGGTGGTTCCGGTGGCTATATTTAACGACGAGGATGCTACGGTAATTAATTAACCCGCGCCCCGTTGGGCTCTGCCGAGCAACGCGCCCGGTTGGGGGGGGGGGCATTTTGGCCCCCCCCCCTAAGATCTCGAGAACCACGCAACATAGCGACAAGCGGTAAACGGCGTTGGATAGCCCCAACGGGGAACTACCTTGTGACCCAATTTTATTGACCTAGGTCAAACCGATGACGTCACAGGTCAGGTCAAAGGTCCAATTTTCACCGTTTACAGGCACTTCAAGAAATGCGTTGTAAAATCGAGTAAAATGCATTTCATTGAAAATCATCGATGGGGAAATGTTCTTCAAACACATATTTTGCTATCTGAGGTCACTGATACCAGGTCAGGTCACAGAGGTCAGGTCACGGGGGGGTCACAATATGAAAGTGTCGTGTTATACATGTTTTATGGTCCATTTTACATGACAAATGCGATTATATGGGTCAGGCAGCCTTTGGGGCCAGCTTAGATCACGTTTTGGTCAAGGTCAGGTCAAGGTCAGGTCAAGGTCAGGTCAAATTAGGTCAAATTTCAAAGTTAATATTTTTGCATAAAATGGGTATCGAATCGATGCAACTCGTCACGGGGAGTTCAATGGTGGTCTTTGTTTTGCTGTACGTGGTCTAGAATTGCTAAAAATTGAGTTCAAAAATTTGACGTCATCATTTTTGAACAGTTTTTTCGCTATAACTTGGCCAAAAATCGAAATATCGATCTGAAATTTGGTATGTATATGGAAGAGCACTGGGACTATCACATATATTCCGGTTTTTTCGAAATTCGGAAATTTTTTGGATTTTTTCAAAGTTTTTCTAAAAAAATCAATTTTTTGAATTTTTTTTTGTCAAAAACCAAAAATTTTGAAAATCCGAGATAGCAGTTTTGTAGCGCCGCTTTTTGTCTACTAGACCATATAAAGAACTTTGAAATTGCTTGATAACTGTAGATTTGGTGAGCGTTTCAAGATTGCATGTTTTTTGCTCATTTTTGCTCGAACATGACCTCAGTTTGACCTCAATAACTCCTGACCTAAGGTGACCTAAGACTTGAAATTTGGTGTGAAGGTGTCAAATTGATGCCCGGGAAGGTACTGAAAATTTAGCGGCGCTGCGCGCCGCCGTTTTCTTGCTATTCAGGAAAAACCACAGGGGGGGGGGGCCAAAATGGCCCCCCCAACGGGGCGAGGGTTAATGATCGAACGGCATGCAATTCAATATACTCCTGCGGGATATCCCTCTGGCCTCCCTATTTCTATCGCCCTCTCAACAATTCGGCGCGGAATTACCACGGTCGTCATTCAAAAGGTGCTGCTGCCTTGCCGACTCCACCCTGTCACTACCCCAGCGGTGTCTGTATGTCTGTCTGTCTGTCCGTGGGAGGTGCGGGTCGGTGAGTCAGAACTCCACGCGCCACCGGCGGTCGTGGCCGCCACAATGCCATTGTGTTCGGTTCGCCGTGACCGGTAGGCGGCCTTTTGACGCCGTTTTCGTGTCGTTCAATGCATTCTCTGGTCCTGAACGGAACGGTTTTATGTATCGCCATGTATTATCGATATGGCAGAGGTGTGTGGATCGTGACTTAATGCCGCATGCCCCGCATACATCCGACCGCTACGGACCGTTTTTTGGTCCTTTTTTATAAATCTTGCATCATCATTTCTTTAGTTCGTATTATTTTAAATTAGTTACTCAAATAGAACGGAGAATACAAACAGATACGGTCTTCTGACTTACCTGCTGCGTATAAACGCAGGTGGGCGATAAGCAGTGAAACGTAGGTGGTCACGAGACAATCTTTAACTCTGCCGTCCCCTCTGCTTCTGGTCCCTCAGTGAGTTTCTTTGTTGTGTACCTGTTCCTCACAATACTGATCGGACTGCCGGCATTCTACATGGAGTTCGCTCTCGGACAGTTTTCCAGTCGAAGCGCTATTCACGTCTGGAAGTTCGCGCCCATCTTTGCTGGTGAGTACATATATACCGCATTTATTTGTTGTATTTTTCTGTCACTTAATCATCGCATATACGATTATATATATTTTGTTAACGTTATTGCTGCATTAGCATATCAATAACATTTCGAATGCTAGGCATGACGGTCAAAAATCGCTTGAGTGATTAACTCCTGGCTCTTTCCCAGCCAGCAATTCACTTGGGCTGAACTGTGGCAAACGTCGGGCAGCTTAGGCTTAGCTTGGGTTTGCCCACTTTGATCAAAACCAATGCATTTTTTACTAGGGCTGAGCTTGGGCATGCCGCAGCTATGCCCACGTGCGGATAGCAGTAGCTCAGCCCGACATCTGCCCGCGCATCCAAAACAGGCTTAACTTGGGCGGAGCGCGGGCTGATCAAGCTGGCTGTGTCCTTCGGCTAACTGGAGTAAAGCCGGAGTTTAGCCATACTTGTTCGGCTGTTCGCGCATGCGCAGTTCTGCGCCAATCATGTGCAGCGTTTGTGACAGTCTGCGCGCTGTGCGACGAAACGACACACCGGTGTTGGGGCATTTGGTGGTTGATGTTTGGGCGCGTGTGACAGCGCGAAGAAGGGATAGTGCTCATTGCTCTTATCAAGTGGACTGGCATGGAGTTTTACGGTAGGTAATTGTATTGAATGGTGCGCTTGATCGTATGTAAACGTCATTATTTTGACTGAGTTTCACGCCATCAAACATGAAGCTGAATAGCTGTTCAGCCTGGCGACTTATACCCTCGCTCAGAAAAGCCGCATTCCGTGCCTTTATGTATATCTTTGTGAAATACCAGCACTTCTGAACCAGGAAAACGAAATACAAAACACAAATATTTATCTGCTTTCACCGAGCACGCTCATTCTCTGTCCGCGTTGAAAAATTCGAATGAACATTTTATACGGATCAATGAGAAGTGCTGTTACAGTATTAATGCAACAATAAGTTATTTTTCGAGCAAACATGCAATGTAAATTAAACCAATTGATCTCTTTTTCAGGTACGTACCATTAGAGCAAATGGTTCCAAAAAATGGAATAGTTATACAAACCAGGACCGGGTGGACGCCGCTGTCGCCCTCGCCAAGTGGTTTAGCGGAAACTGCCTGCTTATAATTAAGTAGGTATACCTACATATACGGAAACTGCGCCGAAAGCTGGCCGACCACCTACTGCGTGTGTGTGGAGGAGCCAGACGCCTCCAAAGCTCCCATTCACCAGAGTGAAGTTCTTTATAAACGATTGTTTGCTAATTGCTTTATGTCTTATGAGCGATTACTTGCTGTCCTTACTTTATGCTTTCGGTTAAGTGTTCAACCAAGTATTATGAACGCCGAACGGGGAGGAAGGCTAGCGGGTCTTGTGATTGATTTATAGTTTTGATGGCGCGTTTTCATGACTCATGCCATATTATTGCTGCAGTCAGGCCCATGTCACTCCACTTTTGATGACATCATATGGGGGCCTCAGGACAATAATGGCGCGGCGCGCCACAAATGCTTCAAAGCTACTTGCCAACAGTTGCCATTTTTGAAAATATTATTTTGAAATAAAGTTCAAAGTAATAAAAATATTGTAATAAAGTTGTTGAATAAATCGATACCATATCTAAAAACTTACTGAAAAATGATTTATTCATAGTAAAAATATAAGCACGATGCGTTTTTACGTTGCTTTCCTGCTGCTGCAGAGGGTTTTTAAATCGTCCATATCTTCAAAACCGGCCATTTCTTAGCATATTGCTGCTCTTTTTTATCGCTAGAAAATTAGCTGGACTTTTCAACGACATCAATAATTGAGCGATATGTGTAGAGTGTCACCAACAATCTTCAAATGAAGTTAGTCATTTTTACGTTGTAAAGGAATGGAGTACCCCTTTCGAGCATCAGGGGTGACGTCACTCAGGATCTGTCTCTGATTGGTCGGCGGGGGAGTGACTGTACCTTCTATAGATGGCCTTGGCTGCAGTTTGCAGTCCACTGTTTCATGTATTTGTGTTTCATTTGACGTGTCTGTAGTCGTTTGAAATAAACATTAAATCAAAGTCAACCACTACTTTCCTTTCGCAATGCTCGATGACCGGTTAACAGAGCATATGAGTGACCGTAGCAATTTTAAATATGCATTAAAACCACACAACCTGCTGAAAGTGCATTGGCTGCTCCTTGCTACTTGATCCAGTGTGAAGCAAAAGCAAGATGAAGTCAAGTCGAGACTTGAGAAAACAGGAGCCGTCACTCGAGCCGAACCCGAGCAAAGCCACAGCAGTTTGCAATGTATAAACCCCATTCACTTCTATGGCTTAAGTCGGGATAGACAGGGCACACAGAGTGGGCTTGCCGGAGTTCAGCCCGCTCGGGCCCAGAGTAATCTCCATTATATAAATGGATTCACTGCTCGGGCTTAAATCGGGCTAACGCCAATCGTCGCTCAACTAGGGCTAAACTACGGCTGCCCGGAGCTCGCAGAGCGGGCATACCTCCGGCAGAGCATGGGCTTTAGTCGGCGTTTCTGTGTCATACGCCGACTTTAGCCCAAGCCCTAGCCGACTTTAGCCCGACTAAAAATCTCGGGCAATCCGCACTTGAGCCTGCTTGGGCCCGGAGCAAAATTGCTGGCTGGGTTTAGACCACGGAGGACGAAAACAGTCCCAGAATGTTTCGTCTAAAGCTGTCTAAGCCATCTTAAACCAAAAACGTCTGAGACTCACTCAATATATTAGGTTTAATCTTGGGAGTAATTGTTTAAAGCATCAAGAATGCCCATTTGAAACGGCCCGATTGGTCTGGAAGTGCAATGAAGGTCGATTTAGCGAGGTGGGGGTGGGGGGGTGGGGTGGGGGGTGGGGGTGGGAAGAGGGAAACTTCTGGTTTGGTGAGTGGTTTAGTGTCATGCAATAAGACAAGGAGTGTGTGCAACGATCCAACTATTATCAGAGAGATTATTTATGTCCACTTTTGAAGTCATTGCAGTGTACAGTCAACCAAATACATGTTGTGATGTTGAACATTCACTTTCTATGATATACTTTATAACAATAAACTAATTTTGCATAGCGCAGAGGAGTTCATGGCTACTTTCACCGTTTACAGCAAGGCTATTGGTCAGGGTTCAGGCAGTCGCCGTCCACACCGTTGCAAGCGAGGGGTCCATTGTGATCAGTGGCGCAGCCAGGATTTCGTTTCGGGGGGGTCATCGCCTCCAAAGCGGGCCCCCTAGTGTGCGGGCCCCCACCCATTTTTTAGAATCTTTCCATATTTCATACGCATTCTGCTGAGCGGGCCCCCTTTACCTACACGATAACCCTGAGCGAGTTTGAATCGGAAAATTTTGATAGAACAATAGCTCGGTAATCACCCGGTGTTCAATTTCTACGCGAATTGACCATGACAGAAATATGTTACTATGACGTATGAATTCGTATCTTTCGAGGACGAAATGTGCCCTTTCCGCAATATGCATAGCATACCTATATGCAAACGGAGCTGTAGCCTGCTTCTATCAGACAAGATTTATGTAGTTCCATATGCCTGTTCTAAGTCATCTATTGGCTGCTGTAGAAGATTGTGCCTTTATCCTTCTTCATTACGTAAATTCGATCACAAGAAGTTTTAACCTCGCCGGCACAGGGGGGAGGGGATGATGCAACCCCTTAAGGGTTTTCACGAATAACTTGCGTAAAAAGCGGCTGATCGCGAACAACACTTTCAGTACCCTCGCGTTGAGCAGTTTTACACCTACCCTAGAAATTGCATGACCCTGACTCAAATGACTTTTCACCTGTGACCTAATTTCCGAGACCATGTTTGGCCAGAATCGCGTTTCGGCGTATGCCGACTCGCATTAGCCGCGCGTTTGCAGTCTTTTCGTGGTTTCAAGCGTTCAAACATGTGAGTTGATGCTGCTCCCATGCATTAGAGTGGGTGTCAAGGTCACCTGAAGGTCAGGTCAAGTCATTGACCTATGACCTCGGTACTTTTTCAAATTATACATGTTTTTAGGCTAGTTTATGGAGCTGAATTCGAATTTAGCAACCATTTGAACATTCACGAAGTAGTTTTGGTGCCTTCGTAACATGTTACGAAGCTGCTAGAGGCGGCTGACACGTAGGTACTACAAATACCCGGCAGGACTCCTACTGGTTGACCTGACCTGACCTGACCCGACCTGACCTGCATTTAGCATAAAGACATCATCTGTGATCAAAACTAACATGATAACTATTCGTGATCAGCACCCCGAAAAACCCTATAGCAGCCACACTTTACGACGTTCTAACAGGTCCCGATTTTCCCGATTTTTGGGTCATTGACCTGACCTGGAAGGTCAACTAATGACCAAGAACCTTAAAATTGAGTATCAACGGCTTACTCTCGTCACGGGCAACACGCTCCTTTTTTTCCGCGAAGCTCAAGCTCGATCATGGGCCAAACGCGGGGGGGGGTCGTACCGTACCACCCTTCCCCTTGTGCCGTCGAAGGATGCAAAATGGCTGGAATGGCTTGTGCCGGCGAGGGTTAACGCGCTCATATGGGACATGTATTGCCTTGGGCCGGGTTTGTTGTGGTGTGGTGATGTGGTGACGTAGATTCTGTCTGCTATCGAGATCCCGGCATGGTGTTACTTAGCGCGGAGTACAGGCCAGACCGTTGCGCCTAGTGCGCTGAAATTTTCGTGATTTATAGATCAAGGATGGGTAACGTGCCTTTGCGGGTCTCAGCTCGATCGGATCGATAGCGAGCACATGGGCGCGTGCTTAAAAAGTGCAAATTCGCGTCATAGACTTTACAATACATGTATAAATCGGCTTGCAAAATCGTGCGAAAATGGCTAAATTTGCCCGACACGGGTCCGGTCCCCGTGCAGTATCTCGGTAACCGTGGGCCCGATCGGGGAACACAGTATCGTGTAGAGAATCGAACGGGCTATCCAATGGTGTGCGGTGCAGGGATGGCACGCGCCACGTGCACCCGTGAGGGCACTTATGCTGGAAAATTGACGTTTCGGACAGATTTGGGACTTTATGCTATTTTCGGGTGACTGTTTGACGAAGCGGGTTCTAACAACGCCTGTTGGCAAAAGAAATGCACAGCCTCGCATGGAAAAATTGTGAAAAGCTAATTGATCAAAAACAAGGTGAAACAAATCGCTGGAGAAAATGGTATTTGTTAATGGCTTATTTAATTACACGGGTTTTACTGCATAACCTGGTACGTTTGACAGTTGAAAATGGCATAGTTGGAAAGAGCATTCAATTTTGTCCAAAATCCAACCATCGCTTTTGCATGACGTGCAGCAGTATTCTTAAAAATATAAATGTTTCAAACCTCTACATAGTAACTCATCGATGGCTTTCATTTTTCAATGACCTACGTCAACCTTTGTTATAAACTACACATGACATGTTCTATAGTAGAACGCATGCTCATCAGACACCAGCACCTCGAGGTGATGGATATTTTTTCCCAAACCAAAATGCTTAGCCGTCAAAAACAATCGACCGAAATGGATACATAACCCACGGACACAAGACCAACCAAACGCCCACCGATCGAAAATGCCCCTTATTTGTGTTGCGGAGCAAGCGGGTCACCCTAGCGGGCCCCATTCAACCGGGGACCCGGACCCTATCCACACGGGGGCGCGGGCCCTATCCACATGGGGGCCCGGGCCCCGTCCACCAGGGGACCCGGGTCCCATCAATCCAGGGGCCCGGGCCCCGTTCTCCCGTGGGCCACCCGGGGGTCCGGGCCCCGTCCACCCGGGACCCGGGGCCCGTTCTCCCGGGAGCCCAGGCCCGTTCTCCGGGAGGCCCGGGCCCGTTCTCCTGGGGGCCCGGACACATTCACGGGGGCCCGGGCCCCATCCAACCGGGGTTCCGGGCCCCATCCACCAGGGGCCCGTTCTCCCGGGGCCCCGGACCCATCCACGAGGGGCCCGGTCCCGTTCTCCCAGGGGCCCGGGCCAGTTCTCCCGGGGGCCCGGGCCTGTTCTCCCGGGGGCGCGGAGCCCATCTAACCGGGGGTCCGGGCCCCGTCCACCCGGGGCCCGTTCTCCCGGGGGATCCACGGGGCCCGGGCCCCATCCACCCAGGGGCCCGAGCCAGTTCTCCCGGGGCCCGGGCCCCATCCAACGGGGGTCCGGGCCCCGTCCATCCGGGACCCGTTCTCCCGGGGCCCCGGACCCATCCACAGGGGGCCCGGGCCCGTTCTCCCAGGGGCCCGGGCCAGTTCTCCCGGGGGCCCGGGCCCGTTCTCCGGGAGGCCCGGGCCCGTTCTCCCGGGAGGCCCGGGCCCGTTCTCCCGGGGGCCCGGACCCATCCACGGGGGCCCGGGCCCCATCCACCCAGGGGGTCCGGGCCCGTTCTCCCAGGGGCCCGAGCCAGTTCTCCCGGGGGCCCGGGCCCCATCCAACCGGGGGTCCGGGCCCCGTCCACCCGGGGCCCGGGGTCCGTTCTCTCGGGGGCCCGGACCCATCCACGGGGGCCCGGGCCCCATCCACCCAGGGGGCCCGGGCCACTTCTCTCGTCCGGTTAGATTAGGGCCTCTCTCCTCCCTCCCTCTCCCTCTCTCTCTCTCTCTCTCTCTCTCTCTCTCTCTCTCTCTCTCTTTCTCTCTCTCTCGAGCGGGCCCCTGACAGAAATTTCGGGGGGGTCAGCTGACCCTCTGACCCCCCCCTGGCTGCGCCACTGATTGTGATAGCTTTATCAATGTCGCACAAGGCCGGCCGCTGCTGCCCACTGTTCAGCCCAGCACTGCTTGACCACGATAAATCTCACGGTGTGAACGGAACCGTACAGCGGTTGACCTAGATCTACTGACATCTGTGCAGATAAGTGGTTAAATGCATATTGACCGTGGACTGTTCTAACGATGACCACCAGACGTTATCGGTGTGACTAACGTCGAGTGCTCGCTGTCCTTCTGCAGGGTTCGGTTTCGCGATGGTGCTGCTGTCGTTTCTGATCGCCGTCTACGGCAGTGTGGTGGTAGCGTGGTCCATGCTTTACCTGTTCTCGTCCATGAATAAAGAGGTGCCGTGGCAGAGGTGCAAGCCGGAGTGGCACATTGAAAACTGCACCGAAGTTTATACTGGTAAGACAATGTTTATTTATGGATGAATAAATGCATGAATGGATGAAGCTACTCTATACATTTTGCTTACATATTTCACAGTGAGGATCGAACTTAGATAAACGAACAAATCATAGTCGTCATTAGTTTCTGTTGACAGTTGAAGCAATCAGTTAACTGCACAACTATTTTAACGAGTCTTTTAATTGCGTATAATGGGTAGAGTCTAGCTTTACATTCTTCATTACAGTAACAGGTACATATATCTTCCAGTTACTACTTACATCTTCCATTGATTTTCATATATCAATGAGTAATCCTAAGCGCATGGAACCTTATCATTTCTGCCCACTTGGTACCATGGTATGTACAAACTGGGACTAGGCAAAACTAGACTGGTACTGCCATCCTGATGAGAAGTGAGTAATCCATTTTGACGACTAACCACGGAGGTAGATTACGGAGCATTAGTCAGTTCATGCTTTGCGATGAAACAATGGTTTTTGCACGTCAATTCAAGTTGATGATTGCTATAATGATGATATAATGATGATGCTTGCTTATAGTTATTGTACTGTTCATCAATGTTTGCCGGCTAGTGATTTTCTGCCGGTCCATGACGTCTTCTATCTCCCGTTCGTATTCCGTCTATGCCTTGCTCGTTCTCCGTCCGTTCTGAGTTTGTCATTTTGTCCTCCGCCTACATTTCGCCTATCCTCCGCTTGCATATGTCTGTCTCCGTCTACATCCATCGGTCTTCCGTCCATTTACGTCTGTCTTCCGTGTACATTAATATTCCGTCTATTTACGGCTGTATTCCGTCTATATCCACCTGTCTTCCGTCTTACCCGTCTGTCTTTCACCTGCTCTCCGTCTCCTTAGTCCTTCGTCTTTATCCGTCGGCTATCCGTCCATATCCATATGTCTCCCGTCTATGTCTGTCTATCTTCCGTCTATAGCCGTCTATCTTCCATGTTGTCTTTATCCGTCTGTCTTTCATCCGCTGGCTCCGTCTATCCTTCGTCTTCTGCCTTTGTCTGCTCACCGTCTGCCCCTCTGCCCATACATCTGTCCTACGTCCTCTCTCCCCAATGTAGTACCGTCGGACCCGACAGGTCATCTGTCCATCGAAGGACCGATACCTATTGGTGGCGATGTTTCAGATAAGATTATCGTAGATGGCAACATTACGGTGCTATCAGCGGCTGCGGAAGGCGCCTCCGGGGGCCTCACAGGCATCTCAGCGACTTTGGCCAGCTACCCGGCGCAACTGATCGTCTCTTCCGAGGCCTTCTTTTGGTACGAACGCCAACGCTTGCAATCAGCGGAGATATCCACCGTGAGATAACACAATAAAGCTGCACACTTGCTCAATATTGTCGCAGGTTTAAAAGGTACCTTCAACTATCTCACAATTGTCCGATCACAATGCATCATTTAACTGTATCAACTATCAAGAGTTTCAGCAAACACATTTACTGATGCTGACACCCCATGACTCCGAATGATTGCGTGCTAAAACTGGGTACGCGTCACGTCGTGGCTATCGAACCAAGCAGCCTGCTGAAGTGCAGCGTCGCATTTGTCGCTCAGAGCGCCACACCCGCCTCGCACGGTCCTCAGAACACAGGTGGTAGTGATAGACCTGACCAGGGAGCCTGTGCCAAGTGGGGAGTAAAGTCGGCATTTGTTGGATCTGAAGCACCTCTCAGCCACTATCGGTGTCGATTGTGGGTCCCATTGTTACGCCACGACTGCCTGGCATGCCACCTTCGTGCCGTTATCAGGCGAAAGTATTTTCGCGGCGGAGGTGATTGAAACACAGCTGTGCAAACACATACATATATTTACATAAAAGCACAAACACACATTTTTTGCTCTTCTGTTGAAACATAAGGTGTAAGCAGCTAAGCATGCTTCTTAGATTCGTGAAGATGGCTTTTTTAAATCGCAGCACACTCCGGCAGAGAGGGCTGACTTAGATATCACCACCGTTCTATTTGTTGCTTAAAGGTAGTGTGCCAGCTTTCTTGGACCATATGGAGTTAATGACCCGGATAAGGAGAACCGGATTTTTAGAACTTATCCATACCTTCAAAACTTATGGAAACGTCTTAAATTCTTCAAATTTTGAGTACCCCAGTGCGAAATTCGCCCCGACGGGTTGTCGGTCGTACCCCAACCACATTTCACACCACTATGAACAATAAATGCACACACTAAAATCGCTATTACCGATAGGCTCATCCAATCAAGTTTCGATAAACCCGTTCATCATCATCTCCTGCGGTTTCGAACACGCCTGTTAGGTGGCTTCTGATGCTCGTCGAGGTCGGAATTTCCAAATACGCGTGGTGCGTCGGGCCGCGCGCTCTGACTTCGGCCAAGAAAAATGCGTCAGCTGATCATTGTCATTTCTGCCACTTGCGTGTGGTGTAATGGGGTCATAACTTAACCCGCGCCCCGCTGGGCTATTCAGCCATACGCGCCCTGCTGGGGGGGGGCAGATTCTGCCCCCCCCCCCTGTCTAACTTCCGAACCGATGGTCGTAGAAAGACGGGGAAAACGGCAATCGAAAGCTCTCAACAAGGCGGATCTTAACAGCCAAAATTTTTTTGCTTAAGTAGGTCAGAGGTCAGGTCAAGGTCAGGTCAAGGGTACAAAATGCAAGTTTCTACAGTATCGGCCTTGCACCGTAGTTGCCGAAGAATGGACTGAGACTGATTGCCCAAAACGTGTTCTTAGACTACCAAGACAATATTCGTTGCACACAATGTCATTCAAAGGTCAAGGTCAAGGTCAGGTCAGGTCAGGTCAGGTCACCAAAAACAAAATATAGAAAAGGGCATGTGCGACACATGTTTTATGGGTCATTTTACGCATGGAATTCAATAGGCACACTCAATAAGTGATATGGACCACCTCTGGATGAATTTCAGGTCGAGGTCAGGTCAAGGTCAGGTCAAGTGAGGTCAAATTTTGAAGTTGGTTGTTAAGGCCTAAAAAGGTGTCTATCCGATGCAGTTTTTCACGGCGAATCGAATGGTGCTATTTTTGTTTCCGTACGAGGTCCAGAACTTCCAAAAAAATCATTTTTCAAAAAATTTGTGCGTCGTAACGTCATAAAATTTTGAATAACTCCCACATTTTTGAACTGATTCTTCTAAAAATCGGTATGTAGGTGCACATAGACCACTTCTTTGACATATATTCCGGTTTTTTTCGATCAACTCAAAATTTTGGATTTTATAAATATTTTCGCAAAAAAGTCAGTTTTTTGGAAAAATTTTGGCCAAAATCCAAAATTTCCAAAAAAAAGAGATAGCCATTTGATAGACAAAGAAGAATCACGTATAACCTTTTTTGTTACGTCTTGATTCCTTTAAAAATGAAGATGTTAGCGGCGTTTGAAATTTTGCCGTTTTTGAGGCGAAAATGGCGAACATGACGTCACTAAAACGTCAATTTCTCAAAAATTTTCCGACGGATTTCGCTCAAATTTTCAGGGAACGTGTCAAATTGATGTATGATAAGGTACTGAAAGTTTGACGTCGCTGGCGTAACGCGTTTAAAAGTTATTGGCGAAAAACGGGAGGGGGGGGGCAGATTCTGCCCCCCCCCCCAGCGGGGCGCGGGTTAAGAGACGCTGTTTCATATCAATTATTTTACATAAAATCATATTTCAAACCACAAATTAATGTTCGACAGCCAAATTTAAGAAACAATACCAATACAGGCTTACAGTTTAAGGCTCGACATTGTGTTGTCTACGATTAGACAGCTGATAACTCATTCCCGTACGTCGTATGGTCGTAACACTATAATGACCTTTGCTTATTGTCACAAGTGCGCCGCATTCGCGATTGTTGCCCGACGCCTGTTTGCAGGTGAGCCCACTACAGTTGTTATACATATCTAAAAACCGATAAACTTTTAGGCGAAAAAGGCACTATTCCAGGCCCATTTTTGATTTTTTTTGCGATATTAGGTAAAAACAGAAGCTTCTTATCCTAGGAAAAATAAAACGGGAAATCTTTCAAAGGTGGCACACTACCTTTAAAAACGCAAGAATGGAGCAATTAACTAATGTGGATGAACCAGCAAAGGATGATTGAGATGAATATGATGAAATTAGTTGTCATTGGTGCACAAAAGGTACGTTAAAAGACGGCAAAGTAAGCTGTCGGAGTTTATCGTCAAATGATTTGATTTATGGTATAGCTCGATGATATTTGATACGTTTTTTTTTTTCAGGTACGACGTGGCCGACCGCGCCTGTCCTGAAGACGAGATCTGTTATCACAACTGGCGCCTTGTTCTCTGTCTACTGGTTATCTGGTGTTTTATCTGTTTCTCGTTCACACGCAAAGTCAACTACAAATCGAAGGTGGGCGCCCTACCGTAGATATATGTTTGTTGGCTCTTTATGATAAAATTATCTTATTTAAAGATAGCGGAATGGAAGCAGTGATTTATTTTCTAACAAGCGTGCCGTTTGCCACAGAAACACATTAATTGGCTTTAACATACCTTAAGTGGATATTCGGACGCATACTAGGCAAACACATGCATTATTTCCACGCTTCAAGTGTTCATTTTGTAAAGCAACAGTTTTTCCTCGCCAATTTAGTTACGCCCTTTTCATATACGTGCCTCTCATCGCCATTGCACCTCCCCGGACAACCACTGAGATGAACCGGCGTCCCCAGGTCCTGAACACGCTGACCGCCCTGCTGGCTGTGTTCGTGGTGGTCATCATCTCTGTGGGCGTGCTGGAGGAGGGTGACGGCGCCTACCGCGGCCTCAGCTACCTGTTCAGCTTCTCCTGGGACTGCCTCGGACACTCAGAGGTCAGCGGTATTTTCATGATCATTGATCACTGGGAAGGTGGTAACATTGTTACGCAAGTGGTCTCACGTCATGGGTTCAAATGATCGAATGATGAACGAGTCGGGATACACTCAACGAGATATGAACTGATTATGGGATTAACCGACTGATATTTATTGTTCAAGGATCAATAGGCTGTTCAGATGCATCAGATAACGTCTCTATGTAATCGACAGTCAGTATGACTGTCACCGTCTCGCACGCCACTGCCTAGCATGAGAACTTGCCGCAGTTTAGCAAAGTTGTCGCTGGTTCCGCTTATGTTCGTTTCGTCTCCGACTGGCCTCCAACTTTAACACTCTCCTGTCCCGTCTCGCTCACTCTTATCGATATCATTAGATTCACACCTGTTCAGACAAAGCACGCCCAGTTCCATTCCGTTCCAAACTCTAACAGTCCCGTCCCGTTTAACCTCTTTCCTTTTAGTGACATGTTCCATCCCTTCTGTTCCGTCCCTTTTCGTTCCGCTCTCGTCGCGTTCCCATTCGTCCTGTCCCGCCCCGTCCGATCACGTCCCATGCTATTTCATCTTCTTCCGTCTCGGCACGTCTCTTTTCGTCTCCTCTCATCTTACGCCTCATCCCATTACATCTCAATGCTCCACATCACCCCTCACATCCCGCTCATCCCACCACCCCCTCAGATCTGGCTGGACGCGTTCGGGCAGCTGGTGCTCTCGTTCGGCGTCTGCACAGGCAGCGTGATCTGCTTCGGCAGCCGGCACCGCTTCAGGCACAACCTGCGCAGAGACATGCTGGTCATCTTCACCATCAAGATGGTGGCGGCGGTGGTGATCACCCTGGCGGCCTTTATCATACTGGGCTTCCTGGCCCAGCGACTGGACGAGGATGTCGCCGATGTCATCCAAAATGGTGCGTTAGATATTTCTATATTGCTTTAAGCTTTATCGTCTAGGATTGGATGTCAAATGAAAGCTAGGATTGAGAAAGAATTCATAAATTCATGTGTCTAGCCATTCATCAATGCACCGCTTAACTCTCAGCTCTATTTAGTATGTTGGTGTACTGAAGGAGCTATTCAATTTCTTCGTATTACGACAATAACTCCCTACCCCTCTGCTGCTGTGGCCAGGCCCGGAGCTGCTGATGGTGGTGGCCAGCCAGGCGATGCTGCTGCTGCCGGCGCCGCCCTTCTGGTCGGCACTGTTCTTCCTGCTCCTGGCCGTCATCGGCCACCACTACCTCTGCTTCTGGGTGGAGCCGGTGCTGCGCGCTCCGTTCGAGCTGCGCTTCGATCGCTGGCGCAGGAAGCGGCTCCAAGTGGTGATCGGCTGCTGCCTTCTGATGATGGGAGCCGGACTGGCACTGGTCGGGTCGGTAAGTTGGATTGGGGCGGTGGTGTATGCGTTTTGAGGATGGAAAGGAGATATTTTTGCGGACGTGGAATACTGCTGATGGTTAAAAAATGCTTAAGCGGTTTTTACATATTTCCTTTCCACATCATCGAATATATATGAAATGGTTGGACGTTCTAACCTTGACCTGTGTATTTCTGTCGCCCTTTCAGCACGGCGTGGACCTGATCTGCGCTCTGGACCGGCACCTGCTGACCTGGGGCCCGCTGCTGGTCGGAGCGGTAGAGAGTATCGCGCTCTGCTGGGTATACGGCGTACAGAGGTGGGCTGGGAACATGGAGGTCATGCTGGGAAACGGCCCGTCAGTCTGGTGGACATACTGCTGGAAATTCGTCATCCCAGTAGTGCATATGGTGAGCTAGTTTTATGTCTGAATGTGCTAAGAAGATTAGCTTTGGCTCATGTGATTATACACGAGCGAAGGTAATGCGAACCCTTTCGTAAAAGCGGGGAATTTTGTTAATTGAAATTGCTCCGACTCATTACATTTTTTTAAAGAAATAAAACATTGAATCATTATTTCTTGCACGCGATATCTGTCTTTTTGTTTATCATTGCTAATCTCCTCCATCCCTCTCTCTCTCTCTCTCTCTCTCTCTCTCTCTCTCTCTCTCTCTCTCTCTCTCTCTCTCTCTCTCTCTCTGACTCCCTCCCTCTCTCCCACCCACAGATACTGCTAGTGTTTGGTATAGCCGACTACGCTGTGCCGCGGTACGGCGGCGACACGCTGCCTCTCTGGGTGAACGTGATGGCGGGTCTGGTGGGGATGGCGCCCCTCCTGGTGGCGTTCATACTTCTTACACTGGATGCCATCCGGCCACTCAAAAATGGACAGGTATGAGGCGGATATATAGTCGGAATAAGGTAATAACATAATGGGAATGTCGGGACGAAGTGGAAATGACATCGATGGGAAGATGGGGTTAAATGATAGCAATTTTGCGAAACAATTGCGTTGACAATCTATTCTACAAAGTGCATGTACTACCTACAAGATGTGCACTTCGGAAAAGCGCATGTTGCAAAACGCATATTATAGTCAAGAACAGCGTATGCCTTCTTACAGTAAGCATTTTTCAATCTATAAAAATTACAACTCATTTTGACTTGATCTGTTCACCCTTTCACCAACACCGATTATCACCATCCGTATGCTCCCGCTCTGGCAGACCTCTCTGTGGCAGCCGGACGCCAGCTGGGGCCCGGCCAAGGAGCAGCACCGCTGGGAGACCTACGGCGTCACCTTCGTCGCCCCCGAGCCCATCCTGATGGTGCACGTGGACTCGATCCTGAAGCCGGAGATGTACGGCGGCATCCCGCACGGCTTCTACCTGCACCCCAGCGCCAAGGACGCCGAGGCCAGCGACGTGCTCCGGCAGCAGGAGGAGCTGCGCAAGGCGCTGCAGCGCAGACTGGTCAGTGTCTGTGACTGTGTGTGTGTGGGGGGGGGGGGGGCGTGGGGGGAGTTGGATGAAGGCGCGTTTAATGCACATACTTCTCGCGCCAGATGAGTCTGACACTGGTAGGTAATGAACGCCTGCATCTATGCTGTACCGCAATGCATGCGCCAAACTTATCCATAGATGGCGCTAGTGTAAAGCGCCTGCATCTATGCTGTACCGCAGGACATGCGTCAAACTTATTCATAGATGGCGCTGAGAACGGGCGCCTGTATCTATACTGTACCGCAAGAAGTCAAACTCATTCATAGATGGCGCTGGTGTAGAGCGCCTATACGATGCTGTGCCGCAATGCGTAATACCCAGTCCAGTGCATAGATGGCGCTAGTGTAAAGCGCCTGCATCTATGCTGTGCCGCAATGCGTAACAGTCAATCTTTTCCACAGATGGCGCCAGGTACCGGCACCTAGCTTCCTACTGCGCCGAATAGCATAACACCAACCAACCTTTTCACTTCCACAGATGATGCGGAAGCAGATGGAGTCCGTCTCCAAGTCGGTGGTCATCAAGGAGTGCACTACGTCCTCGGAGAGCGAGTCGCAGAGCACAGTGTCGTCTTCGAGCAGCTACGGCGGCGACCCGGGTCTGGGGCGAAGGAAGTCGATCTTGGTCCAGGCGGCGCTGCTCCGCCGGCGTCTGGAGAGCAGCCTGTCCCGGCTGGGCTCCGACGCCGCCATCGGCACCGGCCAGACGGTTAGTGCGGTGTGTGAGCCGCCGGAGCTACAGTAAAACATTGTTTTATTGGCTTTTTAGTGCCTTTATTTGCCGTTACTTATGACAATTATCTACGTTACGACTTTATTATCGTAATTCCAAACGTATTTGAATAGGTATTCACTTATTCCACTTCAGAAAATCATTTATGCAGGCAATGACCATGCGATAAAGCGAATAGCCCCAACTGGCCAGCACGTCATAAGCGTCACGAATAATTATTTTACGTCTAATACCGCCATCAGATGTGCTCAGCTTTTTTTAGTTGTACCGGTAACCACCCTATGGTCTACTTCATTGGACGGTGACCCAACGCGCACCTTCCTCAGGACGCGCAGCGGAGATCCAGCAGCGTGGACCCGGCGCCCCGGCTGGCCTCCATCTCCGACCCCGCCGTGCCGCTGGACCCGAGTCGACTGAGAACCGTCACCGAATCAGAGGAGAGTGGGTGTGACAATGATGGTTACGAGCACACACGGCGCACCTCGCAGCTGTGAGAGGGAGGAGGGAGAGGATAGAGAGAGGGAGAGAGGGGGAAAGGAGAGTGTCGCCCTCTGCAGCGCGGATGAAGAAAAACTCTTCTCGATGTCGACAGATTCTGGATCAGCTGTGCCAGAGCAAATCTAGTACCGAGAGAGACCAAGATAAGCGTTGATGCCAACGAAGCAGCGTCATCAATAGTTATAGAGTGATGGTCACATTCCTCTTGATCCTCTACCATTCCAGAATATGACAGCGCTGAACTGTTGGGAGAGACTGTAGTGACTATCGGTGAGCTGAGGAGCTAAGGGTATGCCTTTGACCGTTTAAACGGTGACTGAGAACATATTTTTATCGTGTAACAATACGATCGCTCCGTGAACAGCACGCTAAGGATCCTGCCGCTCAGACCAAGAAAAAGAATAAAACTACCCGAGAAAGACAAGCGATGCATTACAAGAACTGATAAATATTGTGTTATTGCGTGTGTTTTGTAGCGTACGAGTTATGAAATGTCATCTGACAAGCCGTGTCCATGACCATAATATATGTAGTAATGACGGACTTCGATTTGTTGCGGTAAGCTCAGTGAACCATGCATTCACAAGGCGCCTATAAGCTCGATGACGCAAGTTCACCTGACACTGGTGTCTTACGGTCAGACGAATGGCTGTTTTTGGACTGATTGTTATCTGCTTGATGCAGGCAATATTACCGAACTGTGCGAGCGAGCAAGAGCAATGTGCGTTAGCCGTTGAATACCGTCTTCATTTGAATCGATGAAATGATGGACCAATGTTGAGAATCTTCCGCCCTGAGCTCGCGTATCTTCGTCTGCAGGCACACCAGCGCTGCTCATTGACATGCTGCATAACCGAATTCCACTCTGCTTCGTCTTTAGCAGCGATAGAGAATGACTGCCGAGAGGTAGCAGGCAGACCGGTGATGGATTTACACCCGACGTATGTTTTTTATGGGCTTGAACTGCTCAGGAACTGTGCAAATCGCTGTGCTTGTGTGTGTTAGGGTGTAGGAGCGAACGCGCGAAGTGCAGACGCTCATTTGTGCGAGTTACGATGCTCGAAGCGTTACGCTGTCTTGTATTGCGACAAGCAAGGTAATGAACAGCGATATAGGTATTTAGTTAGCTGGAAGTCGGTGCCTTACAGGCTGTTTTGTTTGAGATATAATGTCGAAGACCAGTGCTTTTGTGATGTTACAGTTCTATGTAATGTTACCTACAATGCGCGTGAGACTTACGATTACCGCGATGCTGCTTGGTTAACAGTCGCGTGAATTCGTAATTTACCTAATCCATAAGTGATAAAAATGATAGTGGTAGCAAAATTTGAGCTTCCATGATTGTGAGAAAGCGAAGATAGAGTGGCTGGTAACGATGAAAGGTGAGCTTCCTTGATTGTACGGGAGCGGAATGAGTGAAATAATGATAATAATGCCAGATTACCACATTGGTGCATGGTGAATGTTTTTAGACGTAAGTTGCGAGCAATAAATCGGCGGTACTTACGAAATGGGGTTTGAGACAGAACGAGATCTCTTCCGAATCACAACTTCCCAAGGCAAATGTAACAACAGGCTCGCATGCTTTTCAGTCCAATCTCAAATATCCCCAATGTTCTTACTTTCGGTCGGAAGTCCACCGGGCTTGCAACTTTCAAATGTATCAGATACCTTGGGAAAAACTCAAAATATCGGCCACATGTACCCAGATCGAATTCTTGGGGGCTTACGAACAGACTTAACTCGTCAAAACTCTTTTACCCAAACACTATCCCCCGATCACCAATGAAACGCCAGTCTATAAACAGGATTCCTTTTATTGTCTTTGCCTTTCGGGCAAAATAAAGCACCGCCACTATTCACGAAGCGTAGCGAAGCGAAGCGGCCGCTACCTCTGTGGCCAAGCGTCTCGCACGCTTGGAAAACGTACCCACAGACGACAAATGTGTGACAATTGGAGTGGCCGCGCGCGCGCCGGCGCCGGCCGGCCGGGCCGCCGGAGCCGCGGTGCCCGGCTGCGGCGGCCCGGCACCGTGCGAGCGAGAGGCGCGGCGCTCGCGGCGGCAGACGGACAGGCGGGCGGACAGCGGAGCAGCGGGGTGGGCGGCAGCGGCAGCGTCACTCGACGGTCACCTCCTCCGGGGGCGCGTCCTCACTGGCCGCGGGCGCCTCCTCACTGGCGGGGGGCGCCTCCTCACCCGGGTCTGCCGGTCAATATAGAGGTCAGGGGCGGTTACACACTATCGAGACTGATAAGGTTGATGGCTGAGGTGACACAGACACCAATGGTACGTGAAAACGGACGTCACAGTGACAGATAATCAGCAATGCACTTTTAATATGCTAGCAGCGTGGCTAGACATCGCCTGACTGTCGATTGCAGGCCGAAACATATTCGTCTATGCGTCAATGGAGTTGTACCCTGAGCGATTATCACAAGAGTCCCAATCGTAATTATCTCGAGTTAAGCAGAATTAAGTTATAATTGCAGTTCAAAACGTGCAGCTTGATTGGTCGTCCTAAAGCAGGCCCACTTTCTAGGACCGAGCAGGGCTAAACGCTGTCCGAGTCGTCACGTCTGCGCTTCAGGTGTGGTGTCGACGGGGACGGGGCTGACTCACTGACCTTCGGGAGGGGCGTCGTCGGTCGCCTCGCCATCCTCGCCCTTCTCAGAGGCCGGCTGTGGCACAGCGGTGGGGCAGAGGTCAGCGGTAGGTCACAGAGACAAGTCAGAGGTCGGTGGCAGATGTCATACAAAAGTTACTGTAGATATTAGCCACCGGTGCCAATGCATGGCAGATATTCGGGAACACGACCGAGCGTTCCGAGATCAAAGGCGATATATGCTCTAATCTGAATGCACCATTACTGCATCATCAAGCTCGCAAAAGGGTACTATCAGCTAACGGAGAAACAATCATGTAATTCAGTTCAAAGTATTGAGATGGAACAAAGACGTTATGGTAAAAATGCAAAGCATCACCTTAAAATATGTGTCACAAAACATGAATGTAAGAAAGGGAAAAGTAAGAAGTCAAAACAGGCTGGTGCTTGGGGCATTCCACGTCAAATCGAACAAAAATCGGCTGTTTTGCACCTTACCATCAGCGATTTCATTATAAATTTGTGAGCGAGTTCCTGTGTGGCCCCGGACATAACATTGATGTTTTTTGCACATTCTGACCACAGGTCTTCTAAATAAAGGGCATCAAATTTTTACAAAATGTTGCATCTTTATATTTTTGAACGACCATAACTTTGGTTGTACTTATTTGATTTGAATGAAATAAACCTTACTGCTTAGGTAATTTCTTAAGCATTTGTTTAGAATTGCACCTACTTAAATATATGACCTTGAAATTTGCTTAACTCTGTTCTTAAGCACAAATATTGAAATAGCAAAAAACACGTCACCTTCGATTTGGCTCATTTTCATATATTTTATTGCCTACTATATTCTTAACAACCTGTGAAAAAAATTAGAGTGGGCCATTCATAAGTTTTGAAGGAAACTGCACAAATGCAAACGTATGCTAGCACGCGCAGTGGAGGGGGAAGAGCGAATTTCGCCCACCCCTCCTGTTTTTCGCCAATATCTCATAAGATTAATGCGAAATTAATTATGGCTTCCTGTCAAAAATTGAATTGGACATCTCATCGTGCAAGCAATAAGAAAATCGGTTCACAACTGTTCTAGTAATAGCGGTGTAAAGTGAACATCCTGTCGCCGCAGCGACGCGGCGACTCGGCAGCCGGCGCCGACCGCTACGCGCCGCCTGAATTGTAGACTGTGCTGGGACGGAACGGAACGGTTCCGTCTTTACATCGCGCTCCCTACCGCTGATTACATTCGATTCGCGTCAAATTTTGTGAGAAGACTAAAAAATGTACAGGCAATCTTATGGTGAAAGAATTTTGAAAATCGGTTGGTAAACAATTGAAATATGAACGTGTAAACACAAAATTGTGATTGCTGCGTTTCCCGCATCGGCCGAGCCCGCCTCAGCCGGCGACATGTTACTCTTAGCAGGCCTCTAACTGCCATATTTATTATTGGATTAAGTAGAAATTCCCCATACATACCTACTAAAAAATGTATGTTCTTTCGTATAGTGAAGATCAAAAGACGTGAAGATATCGTTGCGTGATAATGTTTTCGTTGAATTTACTTCATGATGCATTTCCACACAGCTCAAAATTCACCGCAAAATACCGTTTGCCTGAGACACTTTTACTATGGAACGTGAATGCTTGACTACGATGACTATGCATTTCCATTCTCGCAGAGTTTGGGATATCACTAATCAGCAATCATTCATTTCAGAAAGTGTACACAAGCAAGCATGTCTTGACTCTGTCTTTCAAGGTCACGCGCGGTTGCGTGATGTTGATGCATGAAAACGGCGTTTGCCGCGAAAGTTATGAATGGCCCACTCCAATTTTTTCACAGATGGTTAGGAACATTGTGACGGACATAATATGTAAAAATTACCCAAATCGAAGGTGACGTGTTTTTTGCTATTTAAATTTTCCTGTTTTAATTCAAGGTCAAATGCATTTCAAGGTCACTTCAATTTAATTTTATAATTAAAAACCAAAGCCTTATCAATTGCCTATAAGACCCTGTTAATATCATTTTGATACCAGAAAAGGAACCAGAGTTATAGCCATTTAAAAAATTGATGTGTGGCATTTTTCGCTATATTCGATGACCTATATCTCAGCGATACGTTATCAAATTTCGAAAATATTATACGTAACTCAGTTTTGAGCCATGCCCAGTCTGCCTACAAATTTTCAGAAAAATCGAAGGGGACGACGGATTTCGGTGTTTGATTTGACGTGGAATGCCCCGCTTCACTGCGCCAGAGAATGTAAAGGGCCATACAAAACAGCAGCATTTGAAATCAAAGCACAGTATTATATCAAAAGCTTGGGGCTACACATTTGGTAGTAAAGGTGAGGTTTGACCGAACTTAGTCACTGGAGTCTTTTGAGGTGAAACAATGTAGGGAATGATCGGATACAAAACGAATGTTAAATATACGAGTACTACACTAACAAATAAAGTGGATACTCACCACTAATGTGTCTAGAGCCTGGGTCGATCAAGCTAGGAGTGACTATTACTACTGCTAAGTGCTATAACTAAGTCATGGCCGGGTTAAGGATTTCACCCTATGGTGCACGCTAAATCTCACAGTGACACTTCACGCCACTAAATAGACCAATGGTCAATAGTTGTCCATGTATAACTTTACAGGCCAACCGGACAGACTGCGGACATCAGAACAAACATCTAATCACCCCCCATTTTCACAACTCCCACAGCCCCTAGATGACTTTCTACTGAGGTGCAATCAAACGCTTGAGCCTACCATCATCAGCGTTCGGATCTACTGCCACCTCAAACAGCATTTGAAGGGCATGGCCAGATTGTTTCTATGAAAGGGCGTTACACCGTCCTAAGTGGATGCAGAATAAATGACCGAACACTCAGGAAAACAGCGTTGGATGCAGGACAGTGTGACATGCGCTGCGCTGCCAGCGTCAGACTATCTACACAGGACACCAGTCGATTTCACAGGGGGAGAGAGGCCACCGGGCCGCCCTAGGTTGCCGCTGTCTCTACCTTCTTCTCATCGTGCTTTGGTGCCCACGCCGGCTTGCCAGACTGAAAACACAGCGGTCCGTCAGAGATTTGAACAAAAAATGTCAGCCGAGACGCACACAGCAGTAAGAAAGCGATGAATGATTGAGATCGTGTTTAATATGGCTTTGCATTTTTGTTTAGCAACCACACTAAAACTGAACATGCTGGATTTTGGTATTGAACGGCAGGTATGCTACATTATCCATCTATGATAAAGACCTAAATTGAGGATAGCACATTAAACAGCAAAACAATCGCTTTAAGCAAGAAGTTGTCCTTTACATTAACGGTGGATGTTTCTGCTGCGAAACCTGAATGGGACTGTATGGAGCCCTGTTTTTCCTGTTCCTTATGTGAAACAATGATTTCGCATTGTAGCGGCAGCTTAGTATCTACGTAAAAGAAACAAAAGGCGAAAAGATGAACACATGCAGTTTGCAGTGCCAGGTCATCCCACCTTTCCTCCAGCCGTGCCTGTGAATAAGACGGTTACTCTGCAGCGCTGCGATGAAAAGCGGGGTTCAGAGGCCAAGCAAGGAGAGCAAATGTGGAGAAAGAGCCGGTCACATCCTAGTCAAATCTAGGCACGGAGCTCAGTCACAGTCAATCAGTCGGTACATATCCGTCACAAAAGGAGCAGACTGTCGGCGACACAATGTGACACCTTTGCTTGGAGAGGAAAAAAGTAAAGAAACAGAGAGGACGGACGACACAAGAGTTACGATGAGATTGTCCCACTGGATGTGCGCGCGCCGATACATTGGAATGGCGTAGATCGGGCCTGCCAAAGAGGCAGTCATGCGGATAAAGTTTAATACGCGCTATGATCTTACCTCCCTGTGGCAGCCAATATCCTCAGTCAGTCATGGCTCGCCTCTACGGCTCATGTGGAACTCTATCCGCTGGGACAAACTACGCGGCGTGTGATGTTACTTTTCGTTTATTTCCGAGCGCGGTTTCGCTGCGCTTCCGGTACGGAAACGTGCCAGAATGGTGTAACAGTGACTGATATACATGAGAGGAGCGCGGGGCAGACGGGCCGCGGTGGCTCGCTGGCGGCGGCCCCTGCCCGCTGCGGTCAGCCGGGGACGCCCGCTCCGGTCGGCGCACGGTCTTGCCGAATACCAGATTAGCGCGAATTTAATCAAAAACCCGACTTTCGATAAGCTGTTATTTATACCTATCAGTGGGTAGGAAATTGTCTGAAGTTATCGGATAGAACCTTATTTTTAAGCCACTTTACCATTTGAGGACTTATATCCCTGCCGAAAGTAGACCCACGCTCCGGTTCCTAAAATCGGGCTATGGTACTGATAAATATGTCCAGTTTTCAACGTAAATTTTACGGAAGTTTCGAGAAGATATATGAGAAAATAGCATATCATCGGATAGCACAATTCATGATAAAGCTGTTTCTGCTATCATGGTAGCTTTTCAATGAATGGTTTTTTAGTTTAATGAGTTAGAACAAGAGCCCTGCATGTGTATCGTTCTCACGATAGTATTTAACAAAGAAGTTGGAAAATGTCAAAATGGATAAAAATGGATATGACGAATAGGGCATGGCTGAACTCTCCGCACCTTTCTGAACATAAGCGAGCAAGTTTCAGCTGCCAGTTTTTGCCTATTTGCCGTCAACTCAGCTTTGAACATGTCTAGTCGGCCGCCCTATGTGACCTGACCAAGGTCGGGGGCGGCGCGGTCGGACAGGCTCCAGCCTAATAAACTATCTCAAGCACACGAAATCGTGATTTCATGCGCTCCTTGCAAGGTCCGATGCTTCACTTATGCATTGTTGGTCTTACGTGACGTCATTTATGACGTCACTAGGGTAATAAGAGTTTTTCGTCAATAACTCCCGATTAAATTGAGCTAGCGAGTCGAGAAAGCCACCAATGGACTCAGGAAGACTTGCCGAATCGAATGATATGCAACATGACCTCCTTCAACCAACTTCGTGACCTGGAGGACTCCGACCTGACCTTGACCCACGGTCAACACCTTAAGTTAACTTCAGCCGAACAAAAAGTATACCATTCGACGCGCCTGAGTGAGGCGAACATGATGATACCAAAATTGCGGGTCTGCGGCATTTTTTCGCGAAGTTATCAATAAAAAATGAATCCGCGCCTGGGTCACTTGACTTGACCTCAGAGGTCACAGGTTGGCCTGAGACCTTAAATTCGGATACCAGTCGCTGCGTCTCGTAACGGCGCACACGCTCGTTTTTTCCCGCGGGGCTCTAGCTCCATCATGGGCGAAACAGCGACGGGGGTCGTACCAACCCCCCCCCCCCTTCGGCCGGCGCGTATTTTGAAAACCAATAAGTCCGGCGAGGGGTAAGTGTCAGTTTTGGAACCAGAGAACCATTTTCAGTGGATCCGAGCGGCGCTGGGATTAAATTCGCGCTAAACTGGTGTTCGGCCACACTGTGCGGCGGTCGGGCCGGCGGCCGCCGGGCGCGCGGGGCCGCGGAGCGGGGCGTGGCTCCGACCGCCGACCGGGAGCACCGCGAGACGCCCTCCGCTCACCAGGCGCGCGAACAAATCACAATGGCAGCCCCGAGAACGACCCCGGCCGGGCGAGTGGGACACAGACAGAGGCAGACACACACATTACGCCTTCTTCTGCCACTCGGCCTTCTCTTTGCCCTTGTTCTGGAAGAGAGACGGGGAGGGGCGCCGGGCGGGCGGTGCGTCAGCCGGGGCGGCGGCGCAGCCCGCTGGCGGCCGGCCCGACCCGCCGCCGCCGCAGGCTATTCCTGGCCGGCTCAGGTCGGGCCCAGCGCCAGAGGCACGGCGGCCAGCACGCAGCCAAGCAAGCGTCACACCCCTAGCGACTTTATCACCACAGACGTGACCAGGGGCATCGCACTAGTAGCCTCGAAGGCCGGCTCTGGCCAACCCTTTGACTACGGCTGCATTTCAAATCACACTGAAACTACACATACTACTGTTCAAACAACGATACGGCTACTGAACACGATAACTCGAATCTGCTATCTCACAATTCTGATGCAAAGTGATACTTAATTCTCCTTACATCATTAACTACGTACATAATACATTCACTATGAATACAACAATTAACGGAATGTAACATGCTTATTCTGTGCAATACTAAAATACATAGTTGCTACGCACCGATGATAATTTTGATGACTCACTCGCCAAAAATGTCTCCCTTTGCCACTGGTTAAAACTTACCTCAAAAGCTAAGAACATCCTATTTGGGAGCAAATTGCTGCAGCACACGAAGCGCTTTGGGTCCAGGCGTGAGCACTCACCACTCATACGTTTACACAGACGCTCACAGACACACCCCGGAACGCACCCAGACAGACAAACACACTGCAGCTGTGGGACCGGCCCTCACGGCGGTGGTCCAGAGGGGGCCGGGCGCCGGATCTATACTCACGTCCTTGTCCTCGTCGTCAAGGGTGAACTCCTTCTTCTTGACCTGCTTGAGCTGGTTCCGGAAGTTGAACTCAGCCGCCTTCTTCTGGAGCTTGGCGAACTTGTTCTCGTATTTGGAGATCTTCTTGAGGGTTGGCTTGATGCTGGAGGAGGGAGCAATGTCAGAAAGATGTGCTTGTTACATTTGGAACCTACTGAGTCAGAATGGCTATTTGTCTCTGCTTGCCAGACTTAGGATCTCTAGTCTCTACTCAATACGGATAAATTGAGCCTAAAATATCGAAGGCATACACGGTCAAACAGAAGTTTCATGACATCGCTTTTATGCTTGGTGTCAAAGTCATGGATTAACATTCACAACTCTGCCGATTTGGTGAGTAAAAATTACTCTTTACTAATTTACAATCTAGGTACTACACAAGCTAAAATTTGCAAGCAAATTTGGTGAGACTTACAATTTTCCGCGGAGGTCATTCACCGAGATGTTAAGCTCGTTGATCTGAAAATGGCATGAATACGGTCAACTGTACGAGTATGAGCATGATCAACGGAAGGCAGTATTAAACGCCACCAATTTATAATGATCTTGAAACGTTAAGTGATCTAGAGCTACGTTAGCGGATCATTAGAAAGGAGCCACAAATCTGCATATTTAAGTTTGATGTTTATGAAGATTGCGCCAATAATTAGAGTTCTGGCTAGAACATCATATCGGCTATGACGAAATCGAGAGTAGGCTATTAAGAATGTTTGCAAAAAGTCTTACAGTGTAAGAAATGGGACATTTCTTGTTTGCACACACCATCCACTGGGAGGCGAGACTAAAAACGTATCGTATGTGGTTGTTAAAACGGATACAGTTAGATAGGAAGGTACGTTGGAATTCATGCAGTGTGATGACAATGTTCAGCTAAATACACTACGCATTCAAAACAACTTAAGGTTGGATAATATATTGTTCCACAATCGTTTTCACGCAAGCTGAATCCAAACGTTTATATGAGTCAAAAGACACTCAAACAGTGTCTCTAACAGTTTGAATGATTCTAGCTGCCGACAATCAACTACTATCCGTATCAAATTGATCCATTCTACGGTGTGCAATTAAACGGAATAGTCATTTTGAAACGTGTTTAGATGCGCGTGCTTAGCTAGGCTACAAGGTGCAAACTAATAACCCAGCTGGGCCGCCCATTCATAAACGAATTTTGCTCACACTTCATTGTATCAATTCAATGGCCTGACATTTTTGAAAAGTTTAGAAATAAATATCGGAATACCTACAACCAAGCATGACCTTTAATTGGGGAGTAAATACGAAGCTGGGGATTGGACATGCTCTTCCTGGATCAAATGAGACCTGCTAAATAGGTCATTTACCACAGACGGATCATATCTATAGGGTAGGCGATGCTCAGATCTCACAACCAGTAGCTCGAAACTCATAGGTGCTACTGCTCAATCAGCTACTCAAAGCTACCAAGGCCGTCTGCGCTATGGAAAAAGTTACCTGATAGTCTCTGATTTTAACACCCCAATCGACATCATATTTGTCGGCTTCCAGCCTGGCAATGTGCTCGTGATATTCTCTACAAATCGTCTGCAGCTCGGCTATAAGGAAGAAGGGGACAAGTCTGTTACATGATTATCCCGCGACGAATAGTCCTAACCTATCACATCCCCTATAGTAAGCGCTGAAGAATCGTCGATTATCTGGAAAAAGAAGTAAGAGCAGAATGGAGGGTGGGTCGATTAGAGACAGCAGTGGTGGGGGAGGGTTAGGGTCACAGACCTGAGCGTCCTTGACTTCCACCTCCTGCTCAAGGTCCCACTTGGAGGCCTCGAGCTCCTCGATTTTCTGCTGGTACGCCTGGCAAATCTGCACGAGGTCGGCTAGAAACAGCACACATGCACGTGCTACTTGTAAAAGGATGCGCACTTTAATGGCAGACGAAGGGTCATTTCTCAGCGAGAAAAATGGTGAACCAGTACTTTTAGCCAGCGAATAACCATCAACGATGATGCAATCGATATCTGACGGGGATAATAGGCAGATACAAGGCAAAGGTGAAAACAAGTGGAAGTTCATAAAAAGACCTATTTGCCGTGCAAAATTAAAGAACTACCTACTCTCAGGGTGCGACAAGACTGTTATTATTACGAGCATACCATTAAGGTACGCTACATTCTGAGCTAAATACAAAGGGTAGGAGATGGGTTTACACTTTCAACAGTATTTACTATTTATCATCATATACATGAAATTCCGATTACACCACCAAAAAGCATTAGAATAAACATATCGTGTGATATACCATTTTTACCGAACGTATTCTCGATTTGTTTAAACGTGAGAAGACTCGATATTTTAAAGGGACTATCCCACCTTCTAAAATGTTGTTAAAACCAGTTAAATTGTGCCCGACTTTATAGATTGGATGACCAGGAACACGGTTCTGGCATTTATTTTTCATTAAACATCTTAGGCTTCCCATATTCCAAACACAAACTTTCAAATATGTGACGTCACAGCCCAAAATTACCTCCTTCCCCAGGCCACATTACTGTCATAAAGCTGATTCTTTTTACTCTGTAGGCACCACAACAAAGTTCAGACCAAGTTTTAAGCGATTTTTCAACGAACAAACCCATTTAATTCAGAATGACTAAATGAGGTGACGTCACACTAACGGTCGCTCCATGTTGAAGATAGGGCCTTGTACAAGGCCCATTTTCAAATGAAGGGAACGAATTTCTTCAACACCAAAAGGCCGCGGGGGTTGCAACCTAGATAGATAGTGGTTTCTGAACCTCGCCGCAAACTTGGCTATCTCAACTCAAACCCCATGTTAAAGGTGAGAGTCCCTTTAACTTCAACTCCCAAGATCTAGCAAAAGTGAAATAACAACTGCAAATATAACAAATGCATACAACAAATATGCAACAAATAACAACAAATGCATACATTTGTTGTTGTTGTTATATGTTAGACGATGGTGTGAAATTCGTCATTAAGAATGAATTACAACTTTAAAGGACATTTTTTTGTTATCTACCTGCCTATCACAATAATTAGATAAATCACCTGCTTAAATCTTAGAATAGAAATAGCGAAAAAAAAAAATTCAACGATGAAAACCAGCAGGCTACAGTTACACAACAAGTAATACGCCAGATTCTCTCATTTCCACATAAATTTCGTCATTTATCCGTTGCCGTGTCTGTCTTCTCTCTTACCTTCATTGGCGCCGTCTGTGTTTTTCTTCTGACCACACCTCTGGGAGATGATCCTCCTCCTTTCCTCTGCTTTCCTCTCCTGTTCCTTCTTCAGCTCCTCAGCGGCCTTCTTTCTCAGCAGTAACTGCACAACGCAAAGATGCATTCGGGCTAAGATGACTGCCACTAGGTGATCGATCATTATCATTGTTCAACCGTCACACCTCATCAATATTATCTTCATGTAATGGATATTTTGTATTAGCGTCGATACTTTACGATACAATTGTGTTATTGACATCGGCTTATGGTATGAGCCTAGAAAGCAATCAAAATCAAAATTTTAACTCACTTTCATTATCATTAAGTCATCTGATTGCAATTCAAGTTTTCTTTCTTACCCTGAGTTTCTTCTTCCTCTCTGGGGTCATGAAACCCTTCTTGGCCTTCTTGGCGAGAGAGGTCTCCTCGAGGCGCTTTCGGACCTCAGCCTTCTTTCGGTCGACCTCGGCCCTCTTCTTCTTCTCCTCCTATGGACCCCACGAGCAGCGAGATGTTATGAAAATGACACTGGCTTGGTCATGTATAGGCGATTGAGCATACCTATTTCATAGCAAATCACCTAACAATGCAGAAAATACGCGATAAAAGGAAAGAAAAGAGAGAGATCCGTCTGTAGAAAAAGTTAGTGAGCAGTCGGGATTGCACGACAAAGATCTAATTTTAAAACGGACTGCAAACGACCAGTAAATATATAATGATGAACTTATGCTTAGACAGAGACAACTCAATGTCACTTGGCTCTGAAGAGCATTGCTTCTTATGCGACAGACGTCCAAATGAGAGGACGATGTTAGTTTGTACAGAGCATCAACAACTAACATATGTACTCTGATAGCATGCTTGGGGTGGGTGGTACTAATCGTGCATTGGACAGTAAATTGAGCTGGATTCGCTCAAAGGGAACAGTTCTGACAGATGGCCGTTGCCTTACTGCACAAGCCAGACCTCAAATTACACTAAACACAAAGATATGGCACGAAAACTACGAACTACGATCACCAGCACTCAGCAATACCGGGAAGGCAGAGGCAATCGACTCCCCACAGCTAAGCATTGACTACGTCTTATTCAGAACACAGTGCGAAGTCAACTGGCATGTGCTAGACGACAGAGCAGCGTTTCATTTACAGCAGTATAAAGCGTGGGAGAGGGTTAAAAAAAACACTGACACAGCTGCACTACATCTACGTCGTGAACAACGCAACGATGTTCAACAGGTAATACTACGTCAGCGACACTAAGGGGAAAAATAATCAAGGGAATATACATCTAGGCTGCTAGGCTACATGATCTACATTCTAAAAACTAAAGGGGCATTCACCATACCTGAACTGGGACCTTATGGATACCATTTCTTTTGAATAATCGAGGCTGTGGATAACTTTACGAAGAGTACAACGATGTTACTCGCACTTAATTGGTGATATGGGCTTGGGAGTTTACATGGTAATATATTTCTTATAGTAAAAGATATGCATACGGCTATGGATGAAAATTATCCTATCCACCTTCATTTTGAATTTGATAGTTGCATATTGCTTACTAAATGTGGGTAGCATGGGCAAAACGATTACAGTTATCATTAGTTCACAGAAAGACTCCGATTACTGTAAAATGACTTTTAGCTATCATTCTTAAAAATTATCTTTTTACCCTTCTGGCAACTGGTTTATAAATATCAGCAAATATATCCGATTTTTCTCTGAATTATCCCGCAAGGTCCAGGTATGTGTTAGTCACTGCAAGCCACACTTACTGCCTGTAAACGCCTACGTGCCTCGGCGGCCCTCTGCGCCTGAAATCACGGGAGCAGACGGCACGGGTGGAGGTCAGCAGCGGTCCATCTCACCCACCACACTACGGCGCACTTACCCTCTACTGACGGCGGTACCACGGCTAGAAAAAGGCGGCGCTACACAAACACCTAATGACCTTCGGTGGAAAATGACCACATACAGGTTCCGGTCCTTCGTAAGGTGATATGATGGTATTTGATACTACACGGGATAAGATGAGATTACAATGTCCCAGAAGTTGATGCAGAGCCAATCAGATACTTTAAACCATTACCAACGCAGCACAAGAATGTGGACTCTAAGAAGGCTATTCTGATGTAGCACAGCAATATTACTTGATCTAAACGACTTGCGCACGCTATATCGGGGAATCAGCTTAGGTAGGGGAACATGGCAATGCACATAGTGACATTCTATCTATCAGCTATATTCTATGAGAGGTATGTCAGCGTGCAGGTGGGTAAATATATCATATAATCATACCCCAGACTCCTCATCATCCGAGCTGGAACGAAAACAGCGGTGTTAGAACGTCTGACACATGCTCACAACGGCGCCTCGCGATATTCGCGGAGTTATGTGGCGACTCAGTTATTGGTTATATAAACGCAACTGACAACCACGCCTGCACACAATTAAACGGATTGTCTGCACACCGCCTGTATTAAGAAATATATTTTGAGCGGTTATCAATAGCAAACAAATAAATGTAGCATTAAAGGGGTGTATTTATGTACAAATGGGATGGAGTTTAGCGAATTGTTTGTGTTGTTACTGTGTGTTGGAAGAAGTAAGATTATGCCATGTGTGTACTGTGTGTACGGTGTACAGGTCTTTGATCTCAGTATTTAATGATGCCAAAGCAAATATAAAAATGAATTAATTAAATAAAAACAAAAAAGGGTTGGGTTTGAATGGTCTCATGTTCAAGTAAAAGTAAAAGCAATAACAAGAAATGTATGTGTCTGTTTATGTCTATTCATGAGTTATCCACCAACCAATTGCAAAATGGAATTTTGCGCACGAAAACTTACAACACGGCCAATTTCAGCAGGATGTGTTAGACGGCAAAACGAAACCAAACACTATACCAAACACAAAGCGCATTGCACGAGGGCCCGATGTAAGCTGGCGACGTCGAGGGTCGTTGATGACAGTTGGGGGGGGGGGGGAGGGAGGGGCAGAGCGGGGACATGCGGTACAAACTGTCACCAGTGGGCCAGCAGCGACCGCCTACCTCATCCATCTCCTCCTCGGAACTGCCAGAAACAGACAGTCCCGGTCACCGACTGTACCGACAGCCACCGACCCCGCCCCGCCCACACAGCCGCTGGTCACAGACAGATGGGAGCTCAGCCCGCAGTGCGGCCACGCTGCGCCGAAACCAGGTCCTCTACTACGTACAGGGTGCACTATAAGAGGGTAAGGGATTTGTGTTCTGTGATTCTAACCACAATGCCTCTAGGTAAAATAAATATCAATGAAACTGAATTTAATAAGTAGATCAGGCAGGCCGAACAGAATCGTTAGGATATGATAAACGTAAACGGACAAAGTAGCATGTTTTTATTTTCCGTTGTTTGTGGGTGCAGTTTCTGCCACTCATGAAAATTGGCATATTCCGCTATCACTGGAATAGTGAAGCAGCGGCCTGCTGCTCCCCCTACATTTCTCTTTCCCTTTCCCTTCTTCTTTCTTTCTCTTCCTATCTGCTTTTGCGTGATTCGTTCATTCTGGGATTCACTGCTGTGCCTTTCCTCCCTTCTCGAAGGCTCCGTTCAAGGTATGGGTCGAAGGCCCTTTGAGCTCGGGAGCTTCGCACGCTAAGGTTTTAGAGCTATAAGAGGTACAGACCAACGCATTCCTTTCTTCAGTATCGTAAGAGCACTCGAAAGACTCGCCTCACCCCGTCGAATCAGCTCCATCTGAGTTACCGCCTGTTCTGAATAAATAACATCTTCGGCTGTCATTCGAAATTTCTCCAGTCTATTGCTATGCATATAGTAGCACTTTGCCTCTCCACACTGCCAGCCTGGTGGCAATCGCCGCTGCGACGCTACCCCGTCCGCGGTGACCATCGCTTTTGTCACAGTGACCTGGCTCGAATGGTCATCACTCGCGGCTGTGACTCCGCTCGGGTCGCTGTCGCCCGGCTCGGTTCGCGATGACGACCTCTCTCAGGTCGTGATGAATCCTCTCGTTTTGCGATAGCCTCTCTCAGGTTGCGGTAGCCTCTCTCAGGTCAGTGCTGCGCCGGTGACCCGGTTGCGGCGCCCCTGCTCCCGCGGAGGGCGGCCGGCCGAACAGGTGCTGCACCGGCCGGCCGCTGGCACCCGTCACCAGGTCGGCGCAGCTATTTCGGGGGTCGGCCGCTCGGATTTCTGTGGCTCCGCCGGGCATTCCCGGCCGTCGCGGCTGCTCGCAGGGAGCTCAGGCGGCCGGCCGGCGCGCCAGCCAAGGTCAGAGGCGGGCCCGTGCACCGGGACACGTTGTCTCCTCTCCTCCTCTCTCTTCCTCCCACGCTCTGCACTGATAACTGGGTCGGGATAATCACCCAGCTGTCCGCGACACAGGCAGACACTGGCAGAAGGTTCCGCCTCTTGGGACCGCTGCCAGCAAGCCTTCGACCATTTGGGCCGCTACTGCATCTGAAATTTTGGTCTTGTGGCTTTTAGGCTTTTCTGAATAGCTTTGACGACCTTAATCGACACAAATAAACGCACTTTTCACTATAATAACAAGCAGTGGGGGCGATTATTCTAAAGAATCTTTAAGAATAAGTGTCGGTCAGAAATATGCATCGTCCATATAAGCAAACGATCTGGGCCACATTCAAAGATCTGATGGTTGAAGCACCCGCAGGTGTGCAGCGGAACGAAATATCCACCAAAAATCAAACTGCTTCCCTGCCTTGCACATAATGTATGGAACAAAGATAGCCAAATCGACAACGCCATTCATTTTAGTCACAAGAATAATATTATGAATGACTTTGATCCAAGAGGATGAGAAGCATCCTGAGCCGTGCATACACAGACTGCAAGGTTCCGCTTCCTGAATATGATTAGGTGGCTGGCACATCACTCGACTAAAAATAGCAGCATATGGCCGGTAGAAACTGGCTGAGGTCGATCGAAACAGGCTGTTGCTGTTAAGGCCATTATGATGTCGATAGAATTGGCTGAGGTAGGTATAATGGCGGACTCAGGCCGGTAGACCCAGACTGGGACCGCTACTAGTGGGAGAGCAGGGCGCAGCCAAAGCGAGCCAAACCTAGGTGCCCGGCATTGGACATTTTCAGCACATTTCTGCTCATAGTGAGCTTTCACATCTCCGGGTGAAGTCAGGTATATCGAAGAACTTTTCTCCGCTAAAAAAAATGTTTTTTATGTCGTTATGTCGTTTGAAAATCAGTCTTGTTGGATGAAATGCGTGAAATAGTCTTGAATACCTATGTTTCAACGCTAACTTGAGAGACATTGTAACAAATAGTAAGAAAATTAACCTCACTCTCATTCTATCTAAAAGTAAATTCCGGATTCGAAATAAAACAAACTTTTTTAGAAGCTTTCGGCATTGCGCCATCATCAGCTCTCAATGATGAGAGCTGATGATGGCGCAATGCCGAAAGCTTCTCAAAAAGTTTGTTTTATTTCGAATCCGGAATTTACTTTTAGATAGCATGAGAGTGAGGTTAATTTTCTTACTAAATGCGTGAAATAATTAATTGCTAGAAACGATTTTGAATTGAAAACTGTGACCTCCTCAAAGCCATGCCGCATTTGACAAGCCAAATAAATCGCCACATTTAGAGCAAAATACCTAATATAAAAACCCATCGCTCCAATTTTTGGTTTCATGACTACCACTATCACCCCCCGCCCCAAATCAAAATGAGCTAAAGTAGCTTGCACTCAGCGATTCATGCACAATACGGACGGTTCAAAGAATTGCTGCCTATTTAGCTATAAAAGTGAACACATCCACTGTAATCTATCCTCATCTCCGGACTGTGAACGTACCTGTACTCCTCCTCGTCGGACATTTTGGAAGTCTGGAGAGCGGGACCTGCAACAGAGACACACTGTTAGAGATGGGACATATCCATAGTTAGATGAGTGTCGCTCTTATTACAAAAATGTCAGGAAACCAGTGCTTTTATTTAATTCCCCCCAAAAAACTGTTAGGCAGAGTTTGTCGAAACCTCAAGCATTGACGAGGTTGCATCGCAGCAAGGTCTTATGCAGCTGACTTGTTTCGGATAGAGATGTTAAGATGCGGGCAAAAGGAACCGCAGCCTCTCAGTTGTAGCATTTCGAAATTTAACGGAAGGGCAATGTCCCATCGCCTGCAATCTCAGACCAATGACTGCATGATGAAATACTGAAATAATTTTCAACTTTGGGTTCCTGAAGCTTACTCACTGAAGTTATATGTATTGGTTTTACGCACCTTGATAGCGAAAATAGTAAAAATCATAGTACTGTATCCTTGGGTGGGAATCCCTGGGTCATGACCTCAGTCCTCAGGCGTGAGAGTGCAAATTAACTCGCCAAATTTCTTGGCTTTATCTTACAGTGCACCATTGGTCACATGGCCTTGCTCAACAATGTTTGATGTGGGTCAATAACCATTGGTCAGCCGCTCTGCTAAAATACTTCTTTTTTTTTTGTGTGTGCTGAAACTGCCGGAATAGACAGAAGCTTTGCATTCCGATACAAAAATACAATCTCATTTAAAGTATCTTCGAAGTTCGAGGTCGCCTAGTTTGTATATCTGTCAACCGTTTGACGATATGATGTCGAGCTTCCAACTACCCATGTTGACACAATTTCACCCCAACACAAAACATGGCCTTCATTTCGAAGCTGGCCTGCTTGCGCCGACACATCCCCAAATATTTGCCGTTGGGGGTCACTGCCGACCCCATGAGGGCGCTGTCTGGGGGCTGTTAGCGGGTGACCACGCCGTGTCACCGGCTCGACAGAGGTCAGCTGGCACCTTGCCAAATGACCGTGTCGACAGCGTCGCACGGGTCGCCGCCTCCAGCTGCCGGCGCGCCGGCGTCGCCGCGCCGGTAACGTTAGATGCCGCCGGAGCGCCATATTTGGCCGCATGACGCGTCACCACTGGCGAACGGCCAATAGCAGCGCGGCGGCTCAGCGGCGGCGGTGGCGCCGGTCCCCTCTGTCGTAGGCACGAGCCGGGGCGGCGGCACTGCCCCACGTCCGGAGCAATGCACATGGTCGAGACCCATCGGAAAACGAGCACCGTTGGCATCTGCATGTGCATCACACTGCGTAGGGGTGAATACAAGTTTATAATAAATTTGGTTTGATTTCAAAGCAACAAAACATTTCTAATTAAGCGAAAAGAATGTGCTGTGATGAAAGCATAACGAGAGCGACATAATTTTAGAGGGTAATGATTGCACTGCAATTAGATGGTGGCACGATACCAATTTGGTGCGCCGCCAAACAAAAGTATTTACAGTATTCAAAACAATTTCGATTGAAATATCACAGGTTTCATCCGATCAAGGCCGTAGAGGCCCGCGCGCGCCCGCGCGCTCCCACGTAGAGGTAGGCTGTCCCGCACAACAGTAGCGTAGTGCGGCACAGCATACCTTCTGCCACCAGTAAAACCAAACGCATCCGCGTGGAGTTCGCTACCTAAATGATGCTCAAACGTTGCTAAAATTTGTAAAACTACGAAGGAAAAATATTCAGACGATAGCAATTAACCTGTTAAAATTAACAACAAGCGTCTTAAGAGTGCTTATTGTTTATAAAACAAAGTAAATTAAAAACGTGCGTTTTCAAGAGATTTATGAGTGATTGTCATCATAGCTTTCCTGACCTATAACCTAAACAATCACTGTCATTGAAACATCATCCCCTCAAAACATGTTAGAACTTATGGTAATTGAGCTGTTCTAAATAAGGTTCAGCATTCGGTTAAATAAATGAAGATCGTTTCTCTCTGATCTTAACAAGAACTGGGACGTGTTCATGGGGCATACGATCATGCTTCTTGGGGCAATTCTTTGGTAGAGCCACAGTTAATATGTCTTGGCTTTTATAACAGTCAAAGCAGCCGAAAACTTGGCGAGGTTGAAGCGGGCACGTCTGGGCCTGTTGCTGGACACTGCACTTTTCTTTAGTTTTGTTATGTTTCAGCGTTTCGGCAGACCAAGGGGTAAAGCGCCACTGGAGGTGTGTTTGACGGGGTACATGACATGCTCTGGTCCACACAGCTGACGAAGGTGCAGGCCGGGGCGCCGGGCTCCTGGCTGACGGCACACGGGCGGGTCCGGCGCGGTCACAGCTCTTCTGCCGCTCTCCGGGACGGTAACGAAACGGGGTGGCGGCGGCGGCGGCGGCGGCGGCGGCGCGGACCTCTGGACCACACTGGACACGCAGCCTTCGCTCCGAGACGGCACTGGAGCGGCGCCGACACGTACCTTCAGAGAAAGACGGGACCGGAGCGGCACGGGAGCTGACGAGCCACTGCCGCTGCCGCCGCTGCCGACGCCGCAGCGCGCCCTGACCGGCCCGCCTGGAGCAGCGCCAGGTCACGTGACCGGCACGTCGCGAGCTGGCAGCCGGCGGCGGCCGTCGGCGGGCTGTCGGAGGCGGCAGCGGCGGCGGCGGCGGCGGCCGGCCCGTTCACCATTTGGCTCCAGGAAACGTGATAGGGTCCGGGCGCGGCCCGGTGACGCGACCCGGTGGCATGGGACGACGCGCCGGCGTGCCAGCCGGTGGTGTCGGCGACGGAACGCGGCCCCACCGCCCATGGTGCAGCGCTGTTTTGTACGCCGCTGCGACGTTAACGGCTCGCCCGTCGTATCGGTGACGGGACCGTACGAGCGGAACAACCACCCCCTCCTCCTAGGGGCGACGCGTTACAAGCCATCGTGTGGGGCGGGGCTGAGCGATATGTGTTATGAGACACGGCAGGGAAACGTGCTGACAAGGTGGTACGGCTCATTGAAAAGATGATGGATCGGTCAGGTACGCTGACCGTTACCGTTATACAGGCTTTTACTTATATATCGAGTGTTGTGCCCATTGCCCAGCGCACTGCTAATGACCGATCACGAATCATTTTCTTTTACTCATAAAGTCCATTTAGCTTCAATATCGAGATATACAGGGTGTTCGGGATAAATTTGACAGATTCATTTCTCTTTCATTTCAAACCAGTTGGAGCGTTCTTGATCTGTGAAGTGCAATATTGAACACAATTTTGTTTGTTAATGGCGGAAAGCTTGTTAAGCTTGGTTTATTAGAACCTACCATAATCTTGGAAGACAGTGACGAGCATCATGATCAACCGCGCCGTTTTTCATGTTTCCTGCACTTATAAATACTCTTTGAATGCTGGTTAACCCATCAGAGTGAAATTAAAGAATTGCGCTAGAAAAATGGACGCATTGGATTGCAGAAGAAGGTACGGCGATTGCCCGTACAGCGACGGCACCAGCATGGCTTACCACATCTTCAAAGGAGGCCTTCAGCTGCCCTCGTGTGGCTATGTGAAGCTGTCCGGCGCGACAGTAAGGCCATGGGTGGAGAGGGTGGCCATATAGACATCGATTCGCATGCCAACGGGACTTACCGCCTGACGTTCCCTCTGGGATGAGCCAAAAGTCACTTTTGGAGAACTTCTTCAACCTCACCGGGCCGAACATTTGGCGTCTTAAACCAAACTTAAAGTCTTAACACGGCAAACTTTGAACCACTACTTATGTGGCGTAGCTGAGAACAACACCAACGATGCCTATTGTAACATCAAAGTCAAACTCGCAGCAAGGGTAAAGATGGTGTCTTCATGTCTTTCATGAGACCATGTGAGGAGCATCTTCTCAGGTCCAGTGGCTCACTGGAGGTGTTGGAGGAGTGACGGAGGCATTTTTATTGCGTTGAAAAATGCATAAGCTGGGCGATTGTCTTTTGCGTCATCTTTTTCGTGAGTGTCCCGATGCGATGACCACATGCCAGTAGACTGTCAGTGACAGCCGAGCGGGAGGCCAACTTTCAGCTGGATTCTGTATCACTAACCAACAAAAGTTGCTCACATCAGCAAGATCTTCGTACGAACAGGAATTAACCTATCGACCAATCTTATCGACTTATCAACGTACACACAGAAAAATATTAACACCGTTAGCGGTGTAATTGCACAGTACATATCTGAGCACTTGAGGAAAGTTAATTTAGTCCCTTCCCCGCTTAAATTACTCGCGCTTCTAAATGAACACCAGGAAGAAGGTAATAGAACACTGTTAGGAGGGTTGGGTGTTTTGCTACATGTAGTAAAACACCCAACCCTCCTAACAGTGTTCTATTGCCTTCTTCCTGGTGTTCATTTAGAAGCGCGAGTAATTTAAGCGGGGAAGGGACTAAATTAACTTTCCTCAAGTGCTCAGATATGTACTGTGCAATTACACCGCTAACGGTGTTAATATTTTTCTGTGTGTAGGTAATCGAGGCCTAACGGAGGATCCCTTTGTGGTGGAAACATGACTGATTTAGATAATTTATATATGCTATTACTGCGACATTTTCCAACTGGTGACGGCCCCGGGACGTCAGTAAGAGGTCCAGGTAGGCCGCAATCCCTAACCGGATGAAGCCGTATACGTGTGCTGGGCGGCGGTTCGTCGCTGTCGGCAGCGCGGGAATGGGAGGGCTCCGTGCCGGGGATTAAAGTTTAAACCTCAACAGTTATTGAGTTGTACTGAAACTTTGGCGTCACATACATTCCGTCAACATTGTCTGATATTATCAAAAACTCACATAATTAGTATTTTGAAGAATGAAATCTTGTAAAACGCTCCTCATAGCAAAATTCAACCTCAGACAGAGCGTAAGCTCCCCATGCTTGTACCAGTAAGTTGACACCTTAAGGCTATAGATTTCTATTTTATTTCCACAACATCATTGCCATTTGAACTAAATTAGTTTTATACTACTGAACTCAACTGGGCTTATAGACACTAAGCATCATTCGAAACTTTAAAACTAAAACCAAAGAGAAACAAATTCATGGCATGCACCAATCCTTTGCTAACTTAATGTTTTGCAGTGCGTGTGCTTGGCAATTGATTTTAAAGACATCATTTAGCGGCGAACACCTACCTAATTATTTGCCACTTATCGTTGAAGAACTACCTGATTATAAGTTCAATTTCATTTTCCTTTCACTAGGACTGTGAATCGTAAGAGCAACAACCTGTCCTTGAATATTAAAAAAGAAAGTGAATATAAAGAAGTCAATCACTTTAAATGTATGTTAGCCTTGGAATGGCAGTTTAACTCTTTTTTAATAGCGCTTAGCAGCCAAAGCTATAAAATCATAACGGAAGCCCATTATCATAAGCAGGACTGTTCCATGCTATTCATTTGCGCTGGTAGGTAACATTAACTCTCTCCCACATTCTTTATATTTTTAGTCGTCGACTGCCTAGCGGCGGCGGGAGGCTCTTTTTCAAATGGCTGCACTGTGTGCCGGCTGCAGTATATGCGGGTGGGCGCCGGTCGGGGTGGCAGTTGGACGGCAGCAGCCGCGTTCCGAGCCAACAATGCTCCAGTCTTGGACGAGGCCGGCTGGTGTCGCATTCGGCACGGCCAGCCGGAGCCGCAGAGAGCCTGGCCGGCGGCCAATTTAAAATTGGCCGCTCAGCCGACCGGAGCTGTCGAGGATTTTCAACGTGGAGCTGACCGTTATAAAATGCCACCGACGCGCTCACTCGGCCAGCTGTCTAGTGAAAGATATCTGACCTATTCGGATTTGAAGATAGGTTTCGAGTTCCTGGAATGCCGTGTGAAGAGGTTTGTCAGCAAAGATCTTATCCATGCAGCCCTACAGCGCAAAGTCGATGGAACAGTGCGATTATGTTCAACTCGGTGTCAATTTCAATTGCACTTCATGGACAGAGCATTAGCAAAAACGCCGTGACTGGAGTGGCTAACGGTCTCAGTTTGACTTGGAATTCCTTCCGCTGCACTATACGTCCAACATTTGTTTGAAAAATTTCAGGGTTAACTCCAAATGCAACTTAGAGATTCACTGTCTCGTTAGGCGGTGATCAGAATGCCAGTTGCCTTTCCAAGTGCACACAGTTCAATGTTTCTTTTTGTCCTTTTTGCTTACAATTTTAAATCGATACACCTACCTACAATATCTAAAATTGAAAGCGAAATGCAAACCAAATTCCAATATTTCAAGAAACATAACACAGTTTGAACGATTATTGTTTTAACCCGGCAGGCGGTGGGCCTACCAGCCACCTTCCGCGCGGTGGGGGGGGGGCAATTTTTTGCCCCCCCCCCCCGTATCTCCGAAACTACTGGACGGATCCGGAAAATTCAAACGGCGTTCGATAGCCCTGTCAAATTTGTCGAGGGAAACCAAATTTTATTGACCTCGGGGTCACCGATGACGTCACAGGTCAGGTCAAAGATAAAATGTTTCACCGTTCACGGGGCTTCTAGGGAAAGCGCTATAACACCGAGTAAAACGCATTTTGTCGAAAATCAGCGATAAGGCGTCATTTGTCTAGTACATATGTTGCTATTAGAGGTCACTGGTCATACCAGGTCAGGTCACAGGTCAGGTCACCAAAGGTCACCAAGGGTCACCACATGAGCCCAACTTTACTAGGGTTATGCGATGCGTGTTTTATGGCCAGTTTTTCATTTCCAACTCAATGGTGTTGGTTATAAGACCATCAGATACGGTTTAGGTCACTTTCTGGTGGAGGTTAGGTCAAGGTCAGGTCAAAAAAGGTCAAATTTCAAAGTTGATATTTTTGCATAAAATGGGTATCGATTCGATGCAGCTCGTCACGGGGAGTCTAATGGTGGTCTTTGTTTTGCGCTACGAGGTCTAGAATTGCTAAAAATTGAGTTTGAAAATTTGACGTCATCAATTTTGAACAGTTTTTTCGCTATAACTTGGCCAAAAAAAGAGGTATCGATCTCAAATTTGGTATGTAGATAGAAGGTGGTAGGGGCTATCACATATATTCCGGGTTTTTCGAAATTCAAAAAACTTTTTGGATTTTTTGGCTATTATATTCAAAAAATCTATTTTTTTGATTTTTGGGAGTCAAAATCCAAAAAATTCGAAAAACCGAAATAGCAGTTTTGTAGCCCTTTGAATTCCACACCTTTTATGTCTGAAACATTTTTCTGTATCTCTAAAGCTGTAGGCCTGACAGCTCTTCCCGCGAAACCTTTTTTTGGGTCGAAAACGGCAAAAATGACGTCACTCTGACGTCATTAGCGGCCAACCTATCATAGCCTTTGGAAAAAATTTTTGTCACCATGTGCGCTAGCTGCTCCCGGGAGGGTACTGAAAGTTTGGTGACGATCGGCGCAGCGGTTCTCGAGATATATCGAAAAAACTAAAGGGGGGGCAAAAAATTGCCCCCCCCCCCACCGCCTGGAAGGTTAAGCTATTGATTTTGAACACAAACCTTCGGTGATCTTTCACTATTCTTCGCGCCTCGTAATCAGTTGTTCGTATACCGTTTAACTGTATAAATGCAACGGCCAGAACACCTTCCATTTTAACCAGCAATATCGCCTATTATGGG